AATAAATAAATAAAATCTTAAAAAAAAAAAAAAAAAACTGATTTCCAGGGCTTCTGGGTGGCTCAGTTGGTTAAGTGGCTGCCTTCAGCTCGGGTCATGATCCCAGGGTCCTGGGATCGAGTCCCACATCGGGCTCCCTGCTTGGCAGGCAGCCTCCTTCTCCCTCTCCTCCCTGCTCATGCTCTCTCTCACTGTCTCTCTGTCTCTGTCACAAATAAATAATAACTAAAATCTTTAAAAAAAAAAAAACTGATTTCTAAAATCCACAAGAGAAACTAGGGTCGCCATTATTATTAACAGGAACTCTGAGAAGAATATATACCAACGCATTAAAATTTGTGAGAATATTTTATGGAAATGTTTACATCTTCTGAATTGACTTCTCTTGGTCTTATTACATTTTTTCTTAATGGAAGAAGGGAAATCTGAATCTAAATAGTGATAGCATGTGAGTGGCAGTCAGTAGTAACTGTGGTTTAAGGGTTATGGCATATATGCTTTCCTTATTAGAAAAAACAGTTTTAATAGTCTTGAACAGAAGCCTGGCTAAGTTTCCATTAAAAAAATTTAATATTGGAAACAAACTACCTGTAGGTTGTTTTTTTCCCCCCTGCTTCTCTGAATTTATTAGCTGTCTTCTTTTAACTATAGTGATAATTCTTTTTCCTCTTTTTTGAGAAATGAGTATCATTGTATAAGTAGGCTGGGGAAAAAAATGGTAATGTCCTGTTAACTTGAAGTAATTACTTGACACACATAATAAAATAGCTTTAGGAAAATAAAATTTCATAGAGCTCTTAAGTCGATTGAAAATACAGCTTGTTTTATCATTTTTAAATTCATTCATGCTGCAAACTTGACAAAAGAACACATTTTTTCAGTTATATAAGTTACTGCCTTTTTCTAATGTTGTTTGGAATTTGGTTTAGAGATAGTTCAATTTTGTATACTACCTACCTTAACATGGAACTGGAACTTTTATTTGTATTTGTAAATATTTATGTACATTTATTAATCTTAAAATACCATAAAAGTTTGCCATGATATATTACTACTTACCTTATACTTTGGTCAACCTTTTGGTAATTTTTTTTAGTGAATCCTTAAGAAATTAACCTTTACAGATGGAGTTCACATACTAAAAAAACAAAGCAAAACCAAAACAAGCACATGCAAAACTTAAATCTCACACTCCATATAAAACATTTAACGTGAGGCTAGTGTTTTAAGGGAGTTATAATTTTAAAAGTACATTTTGTTGATAATAGTCAATATGTACTAATATGATAACTTATAAAAGACTCCTGGAGTTTTATAACTCTTTAAAAACAGTCATTGACACATTTGATAAAAATTAGCAAATGTTCTCTACTATGTTGGGGATTCAGTATTTCCTAAAGAATTTGCTATGAGTTGTTCCTGTTTCAGATAATTAAATGGAGATTGTTTTGGTAGCAAATGAACATTAGGCCCAAGAGAATATTTTTCTTTTGATTTTAATAATCTACATGAATCTTTTCTGTTTATAAGGTTAAAAATGGCAAGAGACTCTAAGAGACTTCTAAGGAATCTTTTAAAAATAAGAGATTTATAGAGTACGATTATTAAAAATTGGCTAAAATGAGTATAACTTATTTTTATTGATTTGTTGGTAACTCTTAGTATGTCAAAAGCTAATAATCGTGAACATTGTACACTGATTCCATTGACCAGTTTTATGGAGGAAGGGTGGAGTAGAGGTGATTGGGTCTGGAGGCCGTTTGTAGATAAAATCACTGAAGGAAATATTTTACTTTTCTTCTGTCTCTGAAATCCATGCCCATTGCAAACTATTGAACCTGTCCCCAGGACCAGAATGGCATGTGTATTTTTCTTTATTTTAAAGATTTGATTATTTATTTGACAGAGAAAGACACAGCGAGAGAGAGGGAACATAAGCAGGGGGAGTGGGAGAGGGAGAAGCAGGCTTCCCGCAGAGCAGGAAGCCGGATGCGGGGCTCAATCCCAGGACCCTGAGATCCTTACCTGAGCCGAAGGCAGATGCTTAACGACTGAGCCACCCAGGTGCCCTGGCATGTGTATTTTGAAAAGGCTTCTCAAATGATCTGAGGACTGCTGCTTTGAATACTTCTAGATCTTTAATGTTTAGATTAAAATCAATTAGACATTTATTTTTAGTTTTAGAAATTTAATGTTAGAATTTAGGATATAGGTTAATGTTTATTTACATTTATATTTGTGCTTGAATTTGTCCATGCTTCAGAGTTATATAATAAAGGCAATTTTCAAGATGTCAAGCAGGTTCTAAGTAGGACCTGTATTATTAGAGCCAGATAACAATACAGAATGAGGAAAAAGTATCAGTTTTGTGAGTCCATAGATTTGGGATTTTATTACTAGTCCTACCACTAATTAACCAAATGACTGTAAACCCTTCAACATCCTTTTCTATGAGAAGATATTTAATTGGCCTGATTAATTGACTAGAATTCTAGCCAGAAAATAAATGTGCCAATAAGTAAAATGCACAATTTATCAAAATACTGACTTGATTTCTAATATTGAACAAATACAGTTAACTGTGTTAACAGGAATATTTTAACAATTTTTGATTACTACTGACAAATAGATAAAACTTAAATTCAGAATAATGGGAAGAAAAAAGAATTTCATTTAAATAAGTCAGAGAAAGACAAATACCATATGATTTCACTCATATGTGGAATTTAAGAAACAAATGAGCGTGGAGGGTGGGGAAGAGAGAGGCAAACCAAGAAACAGACTGTTAACTATTGAGAACAAACTGATGGTCACCAGAGGGGAGGGGGTAGGGGTAGGGGTGAAATAAGCAATGGGGATTAAGGAGGGCATTTGTGATGAGCACTGGGTGTTGTATGTAAGTGATGAATCACTAAATCCTACTCATGAAACTAATATTACACTGTATGTTAACTAACTGGAATTTAAATAAAAACCTTAAAAGAAGAAAAAAATAATAATAAATTTAAATTCTGATGCAAAAGGACCCAGAATATTAAGTTAAAATACTTGGCATAAGAAACCAGGATGAATTATATGAACGGATGTTTTAGTAACTGTTGATAACACGTTTTTATCATCAGTAACCAAAATTGGAGATTCTTACTTAAGTTGTGAAAAACACTTCTGATAAATATTTCACCCAGAATATATGAATTGTAGTAGTTAGCTAACTGGATTTAGTCAAATTGATTTTCAGGGACTTGATCTTCCCTTAATGGATGTCTCTGGGTATTATTGCCTTAGAACTCTGAGAAAAATTGAAAACTATTGAACATTACAAATTTTCAAAGTTTTCTTCTAGGACCTAAATTGCAAGTTTTTTGGTATAATTGGAGGTGGTGTTGTCATGAAGCTTTACTATAAACTTACTTAATTTTTTATGTTTTTGTTTGTTTTGTTTTTGTTTGCTACAGAATGTTTATTTGCTAACTAGCCAAGTAAGTATATGTCTTAAGCATATGTATCTTTTTTTGTTTGTTTTTCATTTCAAGGAAACAGACCATATACTTTTAACTAAATAAAATAGTTTAGGGAGATGCTTGGTTTACAGAATTCAGGTTCTAAGTTGAAAAGTTATTGATACATATCTCTTTAATAGAAGTTTGTTCTTGATATTTATAGGAAAACTACTTCGGGGAAGATGACATGTATATGGATTTTGAAGAGGTTATTTCAAGTCCTGTTCTGTCACTGTCAACATCATCTAGCTCTGGGTGGACTGCTCTTGGAATGGAAAATGACAAAAAGGAAAATGAAAGTTCAGCCAAGTCAATTCATCCACTTACCTTACGTCCTTGGGATATTACTGTACTTGTTAATTTGTACAAAGTTCATGGGCGCCTTCCTGTTGTAAGTGTTTACGTATCTAAATAGTCTGGAGTATATTATGAAATTCACCCAACTTAGAAAACTGTAGGTGTTTGTACACACATGCACACACTAATAAAAAAAAATCAGATTTGAAAACTTTAAAATCTATCCTTTTACCTTTATAAAGCTAGTTTATTATTTTCTTCTTAATGTGATTACTTGATCATTGATAATTTTCTGCTTTTCTTCTTTCATTTGAGTTCCTTCTTGCTGTTCTGTATAACTTTAGAACTTTTTGTCATGACGTTGAGTTGCTGGGTTTATAGTTAGCCTGATGGATACTCTAGGATTTACCTTTTCTTATCCTTTATCCAACCCTAGATCATTTGGGGCCCTTATGGTGCACCTACTACAAAATCAAGATTCCGTTTGATCCTGAAGGTTGAATTGTTTTTAGGGGCTCAGATCCAGCATAGAATCCTGGTTCAGTCTAAGGTTGACCAATGGACCATTTGGGTTGACTTGGAATGAGATTATATTGCCCAGAGAACCCAGGGTCCTTGGAGTGAGGCCAGATAGGGAGGGTGAGGCCCTAGAGCATTGTGCTGTTTACTGGCTCCATATCATGCACCTAGGATTGCAGAGCAGAGGAGTCATCCCTGGTGCTTAGTGAACCTAATGTTCTTACTGGGGTACAGAATAGTTAATTTTGTCAGTAAGCACTATTTCTCCTTTTTAAGAATCAAAATCTCTTAATTATATAAATGTAATTTTGGGGACGCATGGGTGGCTCAGTCATTGAGCCTCTGCCTTCGGCCCAGGTCATAATCCCGGGGTCCTGGGATCAGGCCCTGCTTCCGGCTCCCTGCTCAGCAGGAAGCCTGCTTCTCCCTCTCCTACTTCCCCTGCTTGTGTTCCCGCTCTCACTGTCTCTTTCTCTGTCAAGTAAATAAATAAAATCTTTAAAAAAAAATTAATGTAATTTTTATTTTCATGTACCTCTTTGGTCTTATTTTCTCTATATCGTGATTATGGTATTTTGTTTGACTTTAGCATGGAACCACTGATGGCCCTGAGTGCCCTACGGCATTTTTGGAAAGACTGTGTTTTGAAATGAAAAAAGGATTTCGGGAGACCATGCTGCAACTTGTCCTGTCACCCCTAAATGTGTTTGTCAGTGATAACTATCAGGTAATGTGAAAGTGAGTTATGGTAGAGACTTAGAGATGTATTATTATTGTTTATGGGGTTGAAACTGTGTGTTAGCTTCTGTGCATAGAATATATAGCTCTTTAAATTAGAGGCTTTTAATTTAACCATATTAAGAAGTTTTGTATATATATGTGAGTTTTTCAAGAATCTCAGTTTTCTTTTTCTTTTTTTTCTGCTGTTCCCTATTTATGTGATCCCATATAATTATATTCTATATCTATTGTTTTTAGAAATGGAAAGAAATACTTTAAAACTTTTTCATTTGTTTATAGAAGGGAAAATGTATAAAATTTTGGCGGATTCTATTGAAAATTACAACCTCACTATTCATATTAACCAGTACTCAATCTTCAAAACATCCATATCCACTTGGATGATGCTTTTCACCAAATGTACTTACAAGACACTTTATTAATCCCATCAAGATATCCCCAGGGCTCTTTTGAAAGGGAACCAATGATATTCAGCAAATGGGAATAATTTACATTCTTGGGTAATCACTTTGTTATTATTATTTTTTATTGCTAAATGGCTTTACTTTTCATTTAACACTACTTTAGGGCTCTTCTCTACTTTTAGTCAAGTTGTGAGCTTTGGAAAAATAAATGGATTTTAATATAAAGCAAGGTAAAATTATAAATGGGTGGTGAATCTGATACCCCAAAATCACAACAGATGATAACTTACTATGGACTCTATATAGTAACTGATCATTTTATATAAAATAGCTTACCCCCCTTTGCAACTCTTTTGCCATAACTGACCATATTTTTCTACATAGAATTTAAGTTTTCCATATGTGTATATATTCAACACAGCTGACCTCATAGTAGCTGAAACTTAACACCTAATATATGCTTATTTTTGCCACTGAATGTGTTTCCTTTATCAGACTTTTGACGTAGTTGGCGTACCTCATTTTATTGCATGTTGCTTTAGTGCACTTTGCAGATATTGCATTTGTTACAAATTGAAGATTTGTGACAGCTCTGCATCAAGCAAGTTTCTCAAAGCCATTTTTCCAGCAGCATTTGCACACTTTATGTCTCTGTCACATTTGGTAATTCTCACAGTATTTTAAATTTTTTCATTATTCTAATGTTATGGTGATTTGTGTTCACTGATCTTGATGTTACTATTTGTAATTGTTTTGGGGTGCCACAAACTGTGCCCATATAAGATGGCAAACTTAAGTAATAAACATTGCACATGTTCTGACTGCTTCACCAACTGTCTTTTCCCCTGTCTCTCCCCCTCTTCTTGGGCCTCCCTATTCTCTAAAACAAAAGGTATTGAAATTAGGCCAGCTAATGACCCTGCAGTGGCCTCTAAGTGTTCAAGTGAAAGGCAGAACTGTATGTTTCTCACTTTAAATCAGAAGGTAGAAATGATTAAGCTTAGTGAGGAAGGCATGTCAAAACCCAAGCTAAGCTGAAAACTAGGCCTCTTGCACCAAACAGCCAAGTTGTGAATGCAAAGGAAAAGTCCTTCAAGGAAATCAGAAGTGCTACTCCAATAAATACACCAATGATAAGAAAGGAAAACAGCGTATGGCTAATACAGAGAAAGTTTCAGTGGTCTGGATAGAAGATCAAATCAGCCATGCATTCCTTAAGCCAAAGTCTAATCCAAAGCAAGGCCCTCTCTTCAATTCTGTGAAGGCTGAGAGAGGTGAGGAAGCTACAGAAGATAAGTTGGAAGCTAGCAGAAGTGGGTTCATAGGTTAAAGAAAGAAGCCATCTCCATAACACCAAAGTGCAAGGTGAAGCAGCAAGTTATCCAGGAGTTCTAGCCAAGTTAATTAATGAAGGGTGGCTACACTAAACAACAGATTTTCAAAGTAGATGAAATAACCTTCTAGTTGAAGATGCCATCTAGGACTTTCATAGCTAGAGAGGAGAAGTCAGTGCCTGGTTTCAAAACTTCAAAGGACAAAATGACTTTCTACTTATAGGCTAACACCGCTGGTGACTTTAAGTTGAAGCCAATGCTTGAAAATTTTAGGGCCCTTAAGAATTTTGCTAAATCTACTCTGCCTGTGCTCTATCAGTGGAGCAACAAAGCCTGGGTGACAGTGCATCTCTTTACAACAATGTTTACTGAATATTTTAAGCTCACTTTTGAGACCTGCTCAGAAAAAGAGAGTCCTTTCAAAATATGACTGCTAATTAACAATGCACCTAGTCACCCAATAGCGCTGATGGAGATGTACCCTGAGATTAATGTTGTTTTCATGCCTGATTAACACAAGATCCATTTTGGAGCCCATGGATCAAAGAGTCATTTTGACTTTCAAGTCTTATTATTTAAGAAATACGTGTTATAAGACTATAGCTGCCATAGATAGTGATTCCTCTGGTGAATCTGGGCAAATTTGAAACCTTTGGTACAGGTGAGTTCTCCAGGATTTGGCTGCTTATTCCTGATAGCATTTGTCTTAATGCAGGGCCACAAGGTTAAGGACCTGAGGTGATGGATGGATTATTGTGTCTGACTTATGAACCATCCTCCTTTAATTTATGAGCATCTTATGTATGTTAGTTGCCTAGGGCTGTCATAGCAAAGTACCTCACACTGAGTTGCTTAAAATAAGAAAAATGTATTCTCTCACAGTTCTGGAGCCTAGAATTCTGAAATCAAAGTGTTGGCAGGGGCATGTTCTCTCTCTCTGAAGGCTGTAGGAGAGGGTCTCCTTGCCTCTTCTAAGCTTTTGGTGGTTGCTAGCAATCCTTGGCATTGCTTGTCTTGTAGATGCATATCTCTGCCTTTGTCTTCTCATGGCATTGTCTCGATGTGTCTCTGTGTCCCAGTTTTCCTCTTAAAAGGATACCAGTCATTAGATTAAGGCCCACCCTAATTCAGTGTAACCTCATTTTAACTTGATTACTTCTGCTAAAACCCTTTTTTTTCGAATATAGTAAGGTCACAATCACAGGTGCCTGGGCTTAGGACTTGAATGTCTTTTTAGGGGACACAGTTCAGCCCACAATATCATGCAACCCCACAATAAAATCTAGAATATGATCTTTGTTGGTGTACTAGATACGCTCTATCTTTAGGACAAGCCAAGATCTATATGTATTTTTGAGCTCAAAAAATATCAATCAGAAGTATCTTATACTGAGAATTATCGAATCTTTGTGCCAGAAGTGATCTTTATTCACCATCCTCCCCAGCTTCTTCAGATAAAAAAATAGAAGGAAACTAATGCCTGGAGAAATTTTGGTGATTTTATATATTGTCACACAGCTTAGATGAAAATAAAATAAAAAATGTATCGAAAGAGCTGCTAGAGCTATTATTATAGTCATAATTAGAAATTTCCTTTTAAGAATTCCTTATGAATTTGATTTGGGTCATATCCTTAATTTTTTTTTAAGAATACATTTCCTAAAATGTGTTGAAACAAAGAATGCTAACACTGTTCCTTGTGCAGATGGCCTGCATACACATACTAAAAGACTGCTGTAATAAAATTAGTTTGGGAAATACCTGTGAACTGTCTCAATGTATATTAGTATATTGAATTCTCTGAAAAGACTTGCTGTGAAGAAATACACAGCATTATCTTCCTTTTGTGGTCACTGTTAGGTGCAGTGGGATAAATGGTGGACAAGACAGAAATAGTCTTTACCCTAGTAAACCTGGTGGAGGAGAGAAATATTGAGGAAATAATAAATAATGGTCTTGAGACAAGAACATGATAAAACTTGCCTTTTTAGATCTCTGTGGTTGTTTTGTAGAGTATGGAGGTGGGAGATGTAAAAGTGAATGCTGGGAGGCTCTGCAAACATATTAGCAAGAGGTCATGTTATTGGGACCATGATGATAGCAGTGAAGATAGAAGAAAGTCAATGCATTTCTGAGAGATTGGGAGGTAGAGTCCACAGAAATTGGTGACTGTTGGGTAAGGCATTGCCAAACCTATTTGATTCTGTATTACTAATCATATCCTTTGGAACTAGGTAGTGTTCCATGGAATACCCTATTTTAGGACATATCTTTTAGCTTTGTGAGTAAGTCCAGAACTTTTCTCTTTGAAGTATTTGCTGCTTTTTAGTAGTAAGTATGTAATTTCTATAAGATAAATCTATCCTTTTTATATTTATGTAGTTCTCAAAATCTATATGAAAGATGGCTTTCTTCCCTTGTTCTTCATTTTATGGTCTTAATGGTCTTTGTTCTCCCCTGTTATTTTTTTCTTTTTAGTATTTAATCTCATTATTCCTGTCTTCCCACCTAAGACTGGTCTCTTACATTCCCTGTCAGTCAGAGGACTAATTTCTTTTTATTCATTGAGCCATTCATTTCTATCAGAGAGGTCTCATTCTTTCTAGGACTTTGCTATCTTGCTTTGCAGTTGGACTCTTATGGATATTGTCACTAAAGAAGCTTAACTGAGACTCTACGGTACAAGGTTGTGTTAGGGTCTTATGAATCCTTGAGTCTTATTTTCCAGATAGCATGTTTTTACTGTTAGTCTCTGGAGAAAAAAAAAAAAAAAAACTAGAAATAATAATGCCGATTTTCTTGTACTTCTTATAGTCTTCTTATTGTTTTCAGCAGCGACCTCCTGTGGATGAAGTACTCAGGGAGGGTCACATCAATTTGTCAGGTCTCCAGCTGAGAGCACATGCTATGTTCTCAGCAGAAGGTCTTCCTTTGGGAAGTGATTCCTTAGAATATGCATGGTTAATTGATGTGCAGGCTGGAAGTCTTACAGCTAAGGTCACAGCACCACAGGTAGGATTCTCTGACTTATTTTCTTTTTCCTTTGCTTACCCACTTTGCCAAGAGTAAGTTGTATGCCTGTTTGAATGTTCATTGCATTTTCACTAATGGTGTTCTGATAGCCAGACAACTCTGCTTTTTGGATGAGAGTCATTCTTGCCATTCAGAGTTTTCTTAGCAATAGATGAGTCAGACAAGTTTCACGTTTCTGAGCCACATAAAATTGAAGGGTGTAATGTTTTATAGTTCTGCATAACACTTTCAAGATCAAGACTTTGGGGAAAACTCAGTATGAGAACTGGTCTGGAAATTTTATATATTATTAAAATCATATTAGTTGTTTCTCCACTGTTGAAAAATTCTCTTTTTCCCAGTATATGGAATAATTTTTTTAAGAATGTTGCTTTCTTATATATTTCTTAAGTAGGATTTGAAAATATTGTTTATGGTGTTCAGGGTTAGGTAGTTCGGTTCTTGTCATGTCTCAAAGCAAGATAACATCATTTGTATCTGCTGTTAATGATGTGGATTTAAAAAATAAAAAGAAATTTGCTGGTAAGTAAACCTGGTCTAGAGTGCTAGTTGTGATCCTTCTGGATAAAATCCCCCTCCTCCTCTTGTCCCCTTTAATCTTTAGAAGACTCAGAAGTCATAAGGATCATTTAGTTCTAGAAATGGACCTTTGAAATTTCGCCAAATAGCCATATTAGTGTAACATTTCACCTGTTGATCCATATATTTATGATAATATGCATACTTATCTTGGCATTTAAAAAAAAACTGGAATATGGTCTTGAAAGTGTGAAATGTACATACTCAATTTTAATAAAAATTACAGAATGTGTATGAAACATAGGTAGGAAATACAAGAAGGTGGATTAAGACTCTAGATACCTTGCATATCTACAAGAAATTTTTAGAAGGCAGTAAAAACTAAGATTCTATAAATAAGAAAGTGGAATGGAAAAGTGATAGTTTATATTAAAAGTAGATAAAATATATAACAAAATGTATAAAAATGGAAAGAAATATTCAGTGCTTACTGGCCTGATGACTATCCTCTCTTTATTATCCACCATCTCTTTTCTCTAATGTACAAGTAAAGACTGAAATATATATAAAAAAAGTTTGTTCCTTAACAAACATAGAATAAAGCCATGCTGATTGTGCAAGACTGGACACAATTTCTTTAATCTACCAATTGCTAGTATCTATGTTTATAGTTGCCCTTATTAGAAGATGAAATATTTCTCTTTCTTCACTAGAATCTTGACATCACTGTTTCTAGTGTTTCATGAATCCATAGGTGCTTTTAATGTTTATTCCATTCTTTATATGTTTTAAAAGTGAAATTCATGTTTTCTGATAGTTTAAATATGTACTTGTTAAAGGGAATAATATGTATACCCATATTTTAGTGTGTTTATTGTTAACAACTCCAATTATAAAATGAAAGGTTTTTTTGTAAACTGAAGATTTGATGAAGAGTTGATATATACTTAAGTTTCTATTTGCATAAACAAAACTGCTATAATCTTCAAAATATCTGATTTTCCAAAATTGTAGCTCACTATAATAATTAGATAATAATTTCACATCCAAGCTTTGTTTATTATTAGGTAGAGAATTTTAGGTGCTTTTCTGTGCAGAGGATTCCGATTAGTTACATAAGAAGGAAGATATAACCTTGAAGGAAAGTACTTACTTTGTAAGTTGCTGAAGTTGAATTTTTCAGCTGTCATGCATTTTTTGTCATTCACAAATGAGAAGTAACATAAGCTTATAAATGATGTCAGGGTAGAAAAATCATGATTCTGGCTAACAAGTGGATTATGTAGCAGCAGATATAGAATAGCATTTGGGTTCTTTCAAACTATTAATATTCTTGATAAGCTTTTGAACTCTGAACACGTGTTTAGAATGCTAACACTGTTGTCAACCTGTCCCTGCTTATTTGTAGCTAGCTTGTCTCTTGGAGTGGGGACAGACATTTGTTTTTCATGTGGTATGTCGGGAGTATGAACTGGAAAGACCTAAATCAGTAATAATATGTCAGCATGGATTTGACCGTCGGTTCTGTGAATCCAAGGTATGTTAACAAATATGTTAGCAGTATTATAAACATCTATGGATTTTTTAAAATGAAAGATTGAGATATCAGTTTTAAATCAAATACACAGCCATGAAGTAAACATTATAGTTCAATTTTCTCAATTAATAAAATTATTTTGCAGATTTGCAGCCAGTTGTTATTTAGTTGCAAGTATCTAACATATGAGGTAATTATTAAAACATAAATTCACAGATAAATGGAGATATTATAAAGATTATATCTTACCTGTTACATTTTTACTGTTAACTCTCATGTTTTCTTGTGTTATTACATTCTTTTGGATATCACTATGTATTTATGTAGAAGATTTAGAAACTGAAGCAAGAGGAAGGTTAAATTCCTTACATCACATTGTTTATAGACTTCCCTGGAACATACCTCTTCTTTTGTAATGTGGTTAGTAATGTTGGCATTTGCCAAGAAAAGATGGCAGTTTAAAAAAATTTTTTTTATCCTGAATCTGTAACAGAGATAACCATTGTAAACAGTTTCATTTTCCTTTCTAATTTCTTCCCTATATGTGTTTATCCTTTTGTTCTTTTGTTATACGTACTATGTTTATTTACTGTTATATTAGTGTGAATTGAAAACAAATCATCCTGCTTTTAATTTTATGTCCAAAATATCTATAACCTCTGCTTCTTTACCAGCAATAAAGGAAACCGCTATAATTGGTGATAAAATTATTTTTTTCTTGTTATAAACACATTGCCAGGATCTAGGGAATCCTTAGTTATATGTCAACCAAGTATTCCTTATGGATAAACCACACATACTTGTAGGTGTCTCCTTTTTTTTAACGATTCAAAGCTTTTATGTTGCATTAAAATTTTTAAAAATCGAACATTTTCTATCACCTTAGAAAATTACTTTGTGTCCCTTTGCAGTCAGCCATTCATTATTCCGTGCAACCATTGATATGCCTTTGTCATTTTAGATCAGGGTTTTTTAGGTCTATTTTGTGTGGGGGAAATCAGACATACCTTGTTTGATTGTGCTTTGCAGGTACTGTGGTTTTTGTTGGTTTGTTTGTTTTTTAACAAGTTGAAGGTTTGTGGCAACTGTGCCGCAAGCAAATCTATCAGCCATTTTTCCAAGAGCATTTGCCCACTTTATGTCTCTATGTCACATTTTGGTAATTCTTGCAATATTTCAAACTTTGTCATTATTATTATTTGTTACAGTGATCTATGAATAGTGATTATGACTGGCTGAAAGCTCAGATGATGGTTAGCATTTTTTATCAATAAAAACATGTACATTTTTCCTAGACATAGGCTGTTGCACAGACTATAGTATAAAGTGTAAACATAACTTTTATATGCACTGAGAAACCAAAAAATTCATTTTTTAATCTTTAATAGTATTTATTTATTTTTAATTTTTATTTTAATTCCAATGTAGTTAACATATAGTATTATGTTAATTTCAGATATACAATGTAGTGATTCAAAAATTCCATATATTACTCAGTGCTTATCAAGTGTACTCTTAATCCCTTTCACCTATTTCACCCATCCCCCAGCCCACTTACGTCTGGTAACCATCTGTTTGCTCTCTATTGTTAAGGGTCTATTTTTTTTATTTGTCTCCCTCTCTTTTTTCCCCTTTGTCCATTTGTTTCTTAAATTCCACATATGAGTGAAATCATATGGTATTTGTCTTTCTTTGGCTTATTTCGCTTAGCATTATACTCTAGACCCATCCATGTTGTCACAGATGGCAAGATTTCATTCTTTTTTATGACTGAGTAATATTCCTCTGTGTGTGTGTGTGTGTGTGTGTGTACACACACACACCACATCTTTATCCATTCATCTATCCGTGGACACTTGGGCTGTTTTCATAATTTGGCTATTGTAAATAATGCTGCAGTAAACATAGAGGTACACATATCCTTATGAATTAGCATTTTCATATTCTTTGGGCAAATACCCAATAGTGCAATTACTGGATCATAGGGTAGTTCTATTTTTAATTTTTTTCAGCAATCTCCATACTGTCTTCTGCAGTGGCTACACCAGTTTGCATTCCCATCAACAGTACACAAGGGTTCCTTTTTTTCCACATCCTTGCCAACACTTCTTATTTCTTGTGTTTTTGATTTTAGCCACAAAAAATTCATTTGACTTGCTTTATTGTGATATTTGCTTTATTGCGGTGGTCTGGAATGGAACCCGCAATATCTCCAAGGTATGCCTTACTGTTATAAAACACTGAGTATAATGCAAGACACCTATGTTCTACTCTGGCTCTGCCACTAATGAACATTTGCATGCTATTGAGTAAGTAATTTGCTCCAGGGCTGCCATTTCCCCAAGATGTTCATCAGAGTAGGTGAAGTGTATGTTTTCTTCCAACCTAACCATGACCAAATCTCTTTCGGGAATAAAATAATATTAAATTTGTGTCGATTGTCCTTAGATATCATAATAAAATTTACAGTTGATATATCTGTAAAAACAAGTGTGTGTGTTTGTGTAGTATACTCATAAGAAAATCTTACAACTTTAAACTCCTGTACAGTTCTTATAATCCTGTGACACTGTTTACTTATCATTTTACTTTGTTCTTTGTGAATTTCAATAAGTTGTACATTCTGTCAACTTAGACTTGCTTTTTTCCCCTTTTGAATGAAAATGGTACATACTTATGATTAGTTTCTAATTAGTAAGACTTTAATTACTGATAATTTCATTTATCATAAAAAATGAGATCTAATTGACTAATTTTTTAAAATATACATATAACCAAAATTTTATTTAAATAAACAGATGTAAGTGTCAAAATGGTGAATTGATAGTGAGGATTAAATATTCAATTATTCTTCTTTTTAGTTGAGTTGTATTCCTGGGCCTTGTCCAACTTCAGATGATTTGAAATATACTATGACTCGTTTAGCAGTAGATGGAGCAGATATTTATATTGTGGAGCATGGCTGTGCTACAAATCTAAAGGTATACTTTTGTCTGTTTCTTGGCCAGTGTAGTTCTTTTAACATTCTACCAAACCAAACTTCCATTTCTTTTTTTTTTTTTAAGATTGATTTATTTATTTTAGAGCAAGAGAGAGAGAGCATGAGTGGGGGCTGGGGGGAGGAGAGAGGGAGAACAAGAGAGAAGCAGACTCCCCACTGAGCGTGGAGCCAGACGTTTGGCTCTCACAACCCTGAGATCATGACCTGAGCCAAAATCAAGAGTCAGTCGCTTAACTTACTGAGTCACCCAGGCGCCCCAAAACCTCCATTTCTTGAGGTAGAAGACACATTTATAATTTGCCATCTCACAAAACACTACACAATTCCAGGAGATAGCTTTCTGTTTTTGGCTCATCCATGTTCTCTTCCAGTCTATTTCTTCACTACTATTTTACTCTAACTGAATTATAACTTTGCTTTATGGCAGGGATGTAAGCTTGGAGGTTGCTTTTATGGCAGGGATTAAATTGGTAGTATTTTTAAAAGATTTGATTTTGAATGCCTTTAGGTTTTATACATTTATATCCTGGCTGGCTCCTGAAAACATTTTGTTTGCCACCTCTGCTTTGTGGGTTACTGCTTAAAATTAAACCTTGTTAAAAGTCTGTGATTTTATTACTTACTACCAACATTTCTTTCTTCCTTCTCTTGTTTTCCTTTCGACTTATGTTCTTTTCCTTTTATCCTCTTTTTTGTTAACTGAATGTCTACTTTTATTCTGTTGCATTTATCTTTTCTATTTCCCTTTTTTCTCTTTTCCCTTCTTTCATGCAATTTGGAAATAAATAACTGTTCTGTAGCTTATTCTAAGTTGCTTAAGAATACAGAAACTACAGTTTTATTTCATTTTCTTCATGCAATTTAGATGGGTGCAATTCGAGTTGCAAACTGTAATCTCCACAATCAGTCGGTTGGGGAAGGAATAAGTGCTGCAATTCAGGATTTTCAAGTGAGACAGTACATTGAACAATTAAATAATTCCAGAGTTGGACTTCAGCCTGCAGTACTGCGGAGGGCCTATTGGCTTGAAGCGGGATCAGCCAATTTAGGACTCATTACTGTTGATATCGCCTTAGCTGCTGATCATCATTCTAAACATGAGGCTCAGAGACATTTCTTAGAAACTCATGATGCCAGAACTAAGAGGTAAGTGAAATTTAAGGAAGTTAATGGTCCCAAGTTCAGACAAAAATTACCTTATAATTATAGAGGAAATTCTACTGTTAGGAATGGAATAGGAACATTTTACATAAAGACTAAATATGATTGTGCTGGGTACACCTCAGTGGAGGTATAAGAACCTGATATTTAAGTAAATATGTTGTATATCTCATCTCTGATAATGGTATGGTTGATGGAAATAACACTGTTTTTTATTGTGTTTCCAAGCCCATACTATGTGTATTAGCAGTGAAATAAGTTTAAATTACTAGTTCCCAAATAACGTTTTATAGAGCACTACTCCCCTTTCTCTCTCACCACAGCCTTCCACTTTGATTTCATCATTTCTAGAAAACATCATTGCTATCACCTTGTACTCTACAAAACTCTTCCTTTTGTGAGCTCTCACAACTGCAAGGGAGACTAAGGGAATATAATCCTCAAGAAACAGTCATTAAGAAATAATTGTATCTGCCATTTAAAAAGTTGCCAGAGCCTCCTCCTAAATCATGTCCATTTAAAATGCCAGTATAACTTTTTTCCATCCCCATCTCCCTCATTATAAAGTTAATATGAGCTCATTTTAAAAATTGAGAAAACTATTATGAAATAAAGGAAAATAATTGCCATAACCTTACCACACTGAATTTGTCATATTTCTTCCCCATATTTTTAATGTATCTTTCTTATACTTGAAATCATCCTGTATTTATAATTTCTGCATGTTTGTGTTAAACTTCTATCCTAAGCATCTGCCAATATGATCGAAAATTTTATAAATTTCCTTTCAAACAAATGATAGAACACCATCAAAAAGATATATTATACTTTATTTAGCCATTGCCCTTAAATACATATATAAGTGTTTCTAAATTTTTCATTATAAATAATAGTAAGAGGAACATTTTTTTGCACATAAAATCTTTTCCCACATGTTCTTTAAATTCCCTTTAAATAGTTTCCTTAGAAGGGGAGTGTGACTGTGCTAAAAACTGGACCTTTTGATATGCATTCCCAAATTCCCAGAAAGATTATTTCACTTTATATTCCCAGTGGCTTTTTAGGAGAATCTGTGTCTCACTGCATCTTTGCTATCCTTTATGTGTTTTATGATAACTGAAAGATGATATTTCTGTTTTATTTTGCATTTCTTTATTTCTGAGATTAATACTTTTTTCATGTATTTACTGGTGGTTTTTATTTCCTCATTTGTGAATTGCATATTACTATTCTATGTATATTTATTTATTGGCATATTGGTGTATTTCTTACCAATTTTTAAGAGCTCTTTATAGATTATCTCCTTTCAGTAGTCCCTGTTGCTAATATTTTGCAATTTGTTTCATTTTTAAATTTTTTTGGTCTTATGTACAGACTTCAATTTTGTGCATTCAAATATGTCTGTTTGTAACCTTTGTAATTTCTTGTATTAATTTGAGAAAATATTTCTTTTGCTAGTAATCACATGGCACTTGTATTTTCTTATTTTTTTCTATTCCTTTTTTCTGGTTGTTAACATATAAAACTCTGTTTTTTTGTTTTTGAGGTTTTTTTTAGAGAGATAGAGAATGAGAGAGCATGTGCATGGGTGCACATGGTTGGAGGGGAGGGCAGGAGCAGAGAGAGAATCTTAAGCAGGCTCCATGCTCAGCCCCGAGCCCGATGGGGAGCTCGATCTCATACTCTAAGCTTAAATCAAGAGTTGGATGCTTAACCAAGTGAGCCACCCAGGTGCCCCTCTATCTGGATTTTGAATGGTGTGTTTGTATTAATCCAGCCAAGGGTGTAAATAGATTTTTTTTTTGCAAATATGTATTCAAATACAGGGGTAAAAATTTATACCTAATACACATTTATTTTTCCATTTCATCACAAACGTTTAGATACTTTCATCTGTTAATTTCCTAAAAGAAGTATTTTTCTTGTTTTAAAAAATTATGAGTTTTTTACTGAGATTACATTAATCTTTTAAGTTACTTTAAGCCTGACGTCTTGTAAACCTGAGTATGGAAGCTCATGTGTGGGAAATAATGTTTTAAAAAAACTTTGGTTTCTTTGTTAATTATTGCTCAGGAAGCCAGTTACTATGAACAAAGTGCCTGGGTCTAATTAGGTCAGATGGTAGAACAAGGTGCTAATGAAGCGAAGGAAATGGCACCACGTGATTCAAATTCCAGGTGTTCAAGTAAATCCAACTATTTAGATTGGTCTCAGTGCTCTGTTTGGTTAAAAATTGTGAAGAATGGGATTTTATCCTACTTGCAAGCTAACAAGTTAGCCTGCCACAGTTTCACGGATGCTGCCAGAAGACACAAGACTCCTGGTCAGGGACAAAGGACTTTATTACAACAAAAGCATGAACCGGAGTCATATGTGTTTTTATGGGTTCCCTGTGCCCTCCAGGTAAGGTTGCCAGATGAAATAGAGGATGTCTAGTTAAATTTGAATTTCAGATAAACAACAAATAACTTTTTAGTATAGATGTGTCATATTGTCCCATACATTGCATAGGACTAACTTATTTTTATTTGCTATATTTGGTACCCCATTCATGAATCTTTTGGAGGTGACACAAAAAAGTCCATGATGGATGTCTGCACACAGTGGGATGCATTATAGAAGAGGAATATTGAACTTAGGGGTTCTATCACTTTTATAATAAGTGGAAGCAAACCTACTCTTTTCCAGGGTGAGACATTACCTCATCTCTTTAGGTTGTTTACTGCCTGTACAATCCCAAGCAATAGCCTGGTCAGAGCTTTGCAATCTTGGCATACCCACAAGAACAGGTAGGGATGTTTAGGGCATATTGGGAATTGCCCTCCCAACATGATAACTCATTGACCTTCAGCTTTGGCTGCCTATGTGCATATTTGTTTCCCAGGAGTTTTGGAGCCTACGTGTATTCTTTTTTGATATAACTGGAAAAGTTACTGGACACACAGGTCATTAGTTTCTTTAGTGTTTTTGAAAAGTGTGGTTCCCAAACCACCACCACCAGTGTCTCCTTGGAACTTGTTAGAAATTTACATAATCAGGTCTTACTAGACCTCAGTCAGAAACTCTGGGGGTGCAGCCCTGCTCTCCATAGTATAATAAGCCCTCCAGATAATTCTAATGCAAGCTAAAGTTTGAGAACTAGTGCATTGGATTGTAATAAAGGTAAGGAAGGGGAGCTTACATTTGTTATGCAACTTCTGTATTCCAGATTTTATATCAGGTGCTTTACATTTAATCTTCAAAACAGTCTTATTAGGTATATCAGACCACAATTTTACAGTTGAGGAAACTGAAGCTCAGAAATGTTAACTAATTGACCAAGGTCCTAGAGCTATTAAGTGGCACAGCTGGAATTTGAACCCATGTCTAGATGAATGCAAACCCATGCATTTTACTAAGCTTTGTGCTACACAAATGAGCTCAAAAAGTGTATGGAATATGTAAGGTCTTTTATTTTGTTAGTGCTTACAATAGTTTGCTGAGTGACTGAATCTTAATGCTTTAAAATAGAGAAGTGATTTGAATTTGATAACGTTTTACTAAAGTAATATGTCAGATTCTCCCTAATCCTAAGGCTTTCTCACATATTTTTCCTTCTGTCCTCTAGACTGATGTTTCACTTCTATCTTGATATAATTCATCTCATCTTTCACATCTCAAATATTACTTTTTGGAAGATTCCTTCTATTTTCCTTGTCACAATACCTTGTGTTTTTTGTTTTGTTTTTACCTTGTAGCACTCAGTATAATTTATGATTAGATATTTTTTTTTGTGGCTTGCCTTTGCCTCTGTACTCTGAACTTCATATGGATAAGACTGTGTCTGTCAGTTTCACCTAGCACAATACTAGGCACATATAAATTATGTTCAAGAAATATAAATGAGTGAATGTAAAATGAAAATGATAATACCTATTCTGTCTTCCTTGAGGGCCCTGAGGATCCAATGAGATAATGCCTGTAAAAATACTTAGAAAGACTGTTAATATGAGGTGATTTTATTATTTAAAGTTAAAAAAGAGGAATAAAAATATAGTGCCCGTATTTGAATTATATAATATTTTTTTAAGAAAGGAGAGTTAATACACTGACGGGTTTTTGTGTGGATCATTCACAGAACCCAAAAAATATTACACACATTTTCTCCCATTGTCCTAATTCTTAATACTTTGTTCAGAGTCCTTATTCCAAAATTATTACAGTTTTTTCCTCTAATAAAGAATGGGTTAGGGCGCCTGGGTGGCTCAGTTGGTTAAGCGACTGCCTTCGGCTCAGGTCATGATCCTGGAGTCCTGGGATCGAGTCCCGCATCGGGCTCCCTGCTCAGCAGGGAGTCTGCTTCTCCCTCTGACCCTCCCCCGTCTCATGCTGTCTCTCTGTCAAATAAATAAATAAAATATTTAAAAAAAAAAAAAAAGAATGGGTTATTTGGGTTTTATTGAGAAATAGATTTCTTATTTGCCCTACATTTATAGTGTTTTGGTGTATTTGCCATGTGAAGTAGGCTCTGAAATGCTAACAGTGATAAGTTATGTATTTGGTATAATCTGTACCAATAATTTTGTCCATTTTTTACATTAATGTTTAAAATTTTTAGTCCTTTTGAGAATATTTACTACTGTTTTTAAATGGAACTTAAATGTCTGATCTTTATATTTGCTTCTTTTTAGTTTTTTTTTAGGTATGCTGTATCTCTCTTTCTGTTCCTACTTATTTTCATCTCATCGTGGTGAGACTATTTTTTTTTAAGAAGACAAAATGGTTAGACACTCCACAGTAAAATAAGCTTTTGTGTTTGTGTTTACCTTGTCTTTTAAAAATATTAACAATTAATTTTAATTAATTATCTGCCAAAAAGTTTATTTCCTAATGAGTTTTTGTTATGGTGTTGCTTTTGTTTGTTTTGTCTTGGGTTCTGTTTAGGTTGTGGTTTTTGTGGCCAGACGATACCCTGAAGAATAAGAGGTGTAGGAACAAGTGTGGTTGTCTCGGTGGCTGCAGATTCTTTGGTGGCACAGTAACTGGCCTAGATTTCTTCAAACTTGAAGAGTTGACACCTTCCAGTAGTTCTGCATTTTCAAGCACGAGTGCAGAGTCTGATATGTATTATGGACAGTCTCTGCTACAGCCTGGAGAATGGATTATTACTAAAGAAATTCCCAAAATTGTAGATGGTAATGTGTTATTTTGTTACTTGTACTAATCTTTTTTATCTTTATCCTTATGCCATGCTGAGAGAAGTTCAGTGTTACTTTGTTCAACTCAATTCTTTGAGTGGTCTTATAGGTAGGATTCAGTTTAATCTTCCTTTGTTTTGCAGGTGATTTAACTAAAGCCAGAGAAGACTAGTGAGTTTTTTACAGTTACACAAGGCAAAAGTAGGTCTACCCTTCAGATCTATTGTTGACATTGGTGATTTTCCTAGCTTATTCTGAGTATTTCCTTATATATCATTTTCCTAGACCTCAGCTTCCAGAGATTTACTTAAGAATAGCTGTGCTTCAAGGTAACAGTTGTTTTACCAGTTTACTTTTATAGGAAAACTTAGTAGTAATATTTATACTGTTGGCCCTCATATTACCAGCTATTTCACAAGATATTCTTTTATCACTAAAATTGAACATGTCAAGAAGAGAAATGTGGCTTTAGACCCTGTAGGATAACTTTGCAAATACATAAGTGTGTGATATGAGCTGTAAATGGTGGCTTTCAGCATACTAGATTTAGATTTATCTAGCATCTTTTCTCTGAAGACTTCAGAAGTGGATTTTCCTTTGGGGTTTTTAGTTGTATGTTCCCACAGTTAAGTGCAGTATTTACTTCTTAAGTTGTCATGCTGTCAAGAAGTGAAATGTGGAAAAATCTTGGTATTTTATATTTTATATTAGCCTTTTCCCCTTTATTCAAAAACATTAACAGCACTGCCTTTTGTCAGTGGACAAAAAGGGAGAAAAGAAGTTTCAACTTTAAAAGTTCATTGATTTCCCATGTATAAGGAGCTCTTAGAAGAAAGAGCTGGACTGCATATACCAAGTTCTTGCTTTATGATTTTTCACTAAATATTAATACATAAGTATGTACATCTTATTTAAGGTTGTTTAACTTCAGCAATTTTGCCTAGAATAAGAGCAGATTATCCTATAAAATCTGCAAACATCAAAAGTTCTTGACATTTAAAGGATAGGGAAGATGCTAAATAAAATATATCATTTTTCTTACAATATTACTTTATTACATTTGAATGTTTGTTTTTAAAGGTTTTCACAGGTATTTTCTCATTTAATCTTTAAGCTACCATGTGAGTTCTGTATTTTCCTTGTTTATAGTGAAGAAAGTGAGGCTCATCACTGAGAGGGAGTTGCACGAAGTCAAATGGCTAAGCAGAAACTAGAATCAGGGCCATCAAAGCCACTTCAGTGTTCTTTCTACCATACTACAGCTGGCACTAATTATAAACACTGCTTGATTTTCTGATCTGCAGATCAAAGTTTAACCATCACAAAGGGAAGGAAGAAAATCTACAGGGAATTTACACATGGTATAAAAGAGGGAAGAGAGCAAATTCTCTAACTGAAAAAAGCAAAGCTCATTATAACTCTTATAATGTATAATAGAGATTGTATCTCCTATTGATTCTTTCAGGAGTGAGCTATAATTCCCAAATCACTATGAGTTTACTATAGAATTAACCCCTATGTAAGTATCTGACTTCTGATTGTTGAAGTTTCTAGGAGCCAAGTATAGATAAGCAGTATTAGGATACAATCAAGAGGGCACATGGTAGAATGCAGGATTTCCTTGGAAGGTCAGTGACCACTAGTTTCCCACCACTTAGAAGTGAATGAAACCCATTTTTCTTCTGACATTTATTCTGATTTTTCCATTTGTGATAGTAGAAGTGAATAATATTACTATATTATAAGTTCTTAAGTCTTCTTTCCCTTAAATTCCATCTAGAACTGTATTCTGCTTGGAGAGGTGTTTTCTCCTACTAACAGGTTCTTCTTTCTTGGGTAACACAGGGATGGCTGGAGGAGAATAGAAACTGGGCAGGAGTTTTTGTTTGTTTGTTTTGTTTTTTAATCTAAGCAATTTAGAACTCTCCTTTCATCCCCTCACCCCCAGTTTACATAACATGTCTTATAAAAGGCTGAGGAAATGTTCCACATTAAAGAGTACATGACAACTGAATGCAATAATATATGATCCTAGATTGAATCTTGTACTAGAGGGGCAGAGGTGCTTTAAAGGACATTATTGGGTCAATTGAGAAAACTGGAAGGCACATGGTAGATTAGATAACAGTATTGTATGAATACTAAATTTACCAAGTTAATAATTATATAGTTATTACATATTATTCTTCAGAAATAAACACTTAACTATCTAGGATAAAAGGTCACTATGTCTGCAAATTGCTCTCAATTCAAAAAGTTTTATGCATATATTATATATATTAGAGCAAATGTGGCAAAATGTTTAAAATAGGTATTCCGAGTAAAAGATAATATGGTGGCTTGGAATTATTCTTTAAAGTTTTCTGTAAGTTTGACAATTTTCAAATAAAGTTTAAAAAAATAAGAAAAAATTCACTGTCTATGGACTCTGGACCCATACTTAAAGTAGATATCTTTCTATAGTGTTTAGGGTATTGCTATGTGAAATTGGATATTTGTGCTTTTAAAAAATGATTATATTTATAAAAATAGGGAATTGGATTAAGGGCTCTTATTTTTCATAAATTGCTTTTGAAATTATTATGTTCATGTAACCTACTTTTTTGTTTGTTTATTCAGGTAATGTGAATGGCATGAAGAGGAAAGAATGGGAAAACAAATCAGTGGGAATAGAAGTAGAAAGAAAAACTCAGCACCTTAGTCTTCAAGTACCATTACGATCTCATAGCTCATCCTCTTCCTCAGAAGAGAATAGTAGTTCTAGTGCTGCACAGCCTTTATTGGCCGGAGAAAAGGAAAGTCCCTCTTCTGTTGCTGATGACCATTTGGTCCAAAAAGAATTCTTGCATAGTGCAAAAAGAGAGGATGGTCAAGTAGGGTCAGTATTCAATTATATTTAGAAAATAGATTGGAAATTATAATAAGATTATAATTACTTAAAATTTTGGCAAGAAAAACTTTTCCCTCTCAACTACTCCACTATAGAAAATTCTTTTCTCCTCCTGAACATATTTTTAAATGTCCATTTGCTGTTGTCTTGCTAATTATAAAATTAATACATATATATTCATTCCAGAAATAGGAAAATACAGAAAAATGTAGTGAAAATAAATATTTCTTGTCATACCACAGATATGAAAATTTTAGATTTTCCTCCAACCTCCTTGGCTATTCCTTCTTATTCCCTATTTCCATGTCCTCCATTTTTTTCCCTCCACTTCTTCTTTTTCTTCCTCTTACAGCCTGCCATTTGTTAGATGTTCTGGATACTCAGGACTCTGTTCTGTGCCTTTATCTCCACTCACTCTATACTGTTTCCCTAGACAGTCTCAGTAACTGTTTGGCTTCAATTGTGATCTATAGCCAACATCTTTTAAATGTAAAACTCTAGCCAAAACTTTGGTCCCTGTAGGCGCAGCTACCTTTTTGATATTTCTACTTGTATGTTTCATGGAGACTTTAAACTCAGCCCATAAAAAGTGACCTTGCGTGACCAAAGCCCTTGTAGATTTTGTTGGACAAACTTTTAAAGAATGTAAAAAAAAAAAGTTATAAATGTATTAGTGTCTAGGAATTATGGATGGAAGATTATACTTTGGGTTTAAGTTTTTATTATGTTTTAAACTGCCTTAATTTTTTTTGGAACTACATGGGGTATGAACATATATTGTGCTGTTTTGTTACTTTGTATAGATATTTCATTGTAAAATTTTAGATTTTCCTTTATTTATAAAATAAATGATTAAGATTACTATAAAAATTTTATAAGTACTTCTGTTTATACTTAAATTATACAATGTACAGTAATGGTAATAACTTTGCTTTCCATTTTAGTATTCCTACAGAAATTTCAGGAAACAGCCCTGTATCTCCTAATACTCAGGAAAAGTCAGTAGGTCAATCTCCTTTGAGATCTCCCTTGAAACGACAAGCCTCTGTATGTTCCACTCGACTTGGGAGTACCAAGAGCCTTACTGCTGCTTTTTATGGGGACAAGCAACCTGTTACAGTTGGAGTCCAGTTTAGTAGTGATGTCTCCCGAAGTGATGAAAATGTATTAGACTCACCAAAGCAGAGAAGAAGTTTTGGTTCATTTCCATACACACCATCGGCAGACTCCAATTCATTTCATCAATATCGGTCAATGGATTCCAGCATGTCAATGGCTGATAGCGAAGCCTACTTTTCTGCAGCTGAAGAATTTGAGCCCATTAGCAGTGATGAAGGCCCTGGAACTTATCCAGGTAGAAAAAAGAAGAAAAAGCAAACACAGCAGATTGACTACAGTAGGGGTTCCATATATCACAGTGTGGAGGGACCACTTACTGGCCATGGAGAAAGCATTCAGGATCCCCGAACTCTGCCATTCAAAACTCATCCTTCCCAGGCTTCATTTGTTTCTGCATTAGGTGGAGAAGATGACGTTATAGAACATCCATATGTTGTAGAGGTTGAGAAAACAGTAGAGAGTGAACAGATTACTTCTCAACAACCTGTGATGAATTGTTACCAGACTTACCTTACTCAGTTCCAGGTACTTAATTGGTCAGTGAAGCACCCTACTAACAAAAGAACCTCTAAGTCCTCATTGCATCGTCCCCTCGATCTTGATACTCCAACCAGTGAAGAAAGTTCATCATCATTTGAACAGCTTTCTGTTCCAACTTTTAAGGTATAAACCAGATCATTAGTTTCCACTGATAGGTTTACTTAGATAAATCAATTTTTAAGATGTTTCCAAAAGTATTCTCTCAGTCGTTTTAACTATCTCTCTAGAAGAAGAAATTTTTGAAGTCATGGCTTCATGTGTGACAATAAATCTCAGGGTTACTGATGAGTATTATAAATTTAAACATCTCAAATTGAGGAATAGTTTCAGACTTGATTGCCACAATGTTAGTCAATTAACATATAGTCTCTATATTATGCTCTAAGATTAGGAACAAGTTTATGAATTCAAACTTTTGTGTGTCTTAAAAATAAAATTTTGAAATTATTTTTAATAGCTGGTGTTCTTTCTACTTAATCTGTAACTGCTGCTGTGCAAATCCAATTCCATGCACTTGACATTTGAGATCTTATAATTTAGCAGGAATTGGTTATTGTCCATTTCTGTAATGAATTCTGTAAATAGCTTTTTAAAGGAAAACTGAAAATACATCAAAATAAATTTAGTGATAATAACCAATGCGAAAACTATTTTTATAAAATTATACATTTATAAGAGATTTTTTATGATTTTAAAGAACAAAATTAAGCAAGTCAGATCTTATGGAAGGAACTGAATAACAGTGTGTAGGAATCTTATATGGTATATACTTACATAAGCATATACACTTATTTAAAGTGTCTAAATGTTAATTTATTCACTCTTAATTCAAATATTTATTATATACTACTGTTTGCCAGGCATTTGATATACAGTGATGAGGAAAACAGACATAGGACTTAGAGTTTAGGTGTGGGAGACAGTTAATAGATAAAACAGATAAGTATATGATTACAAGTTGAGAAGAGTCTTATGAAGATAATCCAAAGATGCTGGGATAGAGAATAATGGTGGGGTGGAGCTACCTATATTGTGTTGACATGAGAGGTCTATCTGAGGAGGTAATATTTAAACTGAAACTTAAAGTATGAGAAGGAATTGATGATGGGGATACCTAGGCACAGGAAGGAGTCTTGCTAAAATTCTAAAGTGGAAAAAAGTCAGTGCACATCAGTAAGTTAGCAGGGACACTGCTCATTTTGAGGCTAAAGACCTAAATAAACAAAGACCAGATCATTAAGGACTTATAGACCATGGTGTATCAGTAGTTACAATTTCATTGAAATTTCATTAGGAAACTTGTGAGAGCTTTAAGGAAATGTGATCTCATGTACTTTGGCTACTGAGTGGAATTGAACTGTCATGAAGCAGAAGAAGAAGTGGGGTGATCACTTAGAAAGCTGTGGGCAGCAGTCTGTGCAAGAGATTTTAGGACTGGATTTAAGTAATGCTGGAAATGTGATAAATGGAGTTGGAATATATATATATATGCATTTGAGCAATATGTGTTGAAGGAAGAAGAAACATTAGTGACAGTTACAAAGTTTTGTTTTTGGTTTTGTTTTGTTTTTTTAAAGGTTTATTTATTTGAGAGAGAGGTAGGCAGAGAGAGCATGAGCAGGGGGAGGGGCAGAGAGGGACAAGCAGACTCCCTGCTGAGCAGGTAGTCAGTCTCAGGACTCCATCCTAGGACCCTGAGATCATGACCTGAGCCAAAGGGAGATGCTTAACCAGCTGAGCCACCCAGTACCCCCAAAGTTTTTGTTTTAAGGTTGTGCCACTTCTTGCCCAATATAAATTGCCCATGTTATGACTTCAAAATGTTCTCTTTTTTCCATGTGAAAGTATGTTGGTATATGGATTTTCCAGTATAAAGCTCAGTGGTACTTCCAATACAGAATTGTACCTAAGAGGTTAGAATTATTTTAGTATTTTCAATAAATCTTTCTACTTTGATTAGACAGTCAAATCTCTGAACTAAATAAGTCAAGGAAGGAGTTCATATCTTTAGATCAAAATAGAATATAGGTGGTAAGAAAGTTATTTTTCTCTATTAAATCTGAATAACTAACATATAAAAGGGGTCAGTTTCGTTTGAATAATCAAATGCATTATTTTATTTGTTTTCTTTTATGGACATACAATACAAGTTAGTTTTTCCTATAATTTAATGTTTCTCTGGGATTCTTCCTCACTTAAAAGTTGATTGTGCCAGGAGAAGATTCTAAAATTAGTTTAAGAAATGCTCAGTTTGATAAGGAATTTGGGAGGAAAGACATTTGAAGCACTTACCTTTAAGCTTTAGTTGTATAGTCTTTTACCCTCATTGTTGAATCCTCATAGTCTTGCCCTGTCATTTGTCTGAATAATCAGAAAATGAAATTGCCAATTACATATTTTATCTGATTTTTCTCAATTTGTTAAGTATTTTTGTTAAGATTTATTAGAGAGAGAGAGAGAGAGAGTGGGTGGAGGGGCAGAGAGAGAGGGAGAGAGAATCCCTACGCATGGCTCAATCTCACGATCCTGAGATCATGACCTGAGCTGAAACCAAGAGACAGGCACTCAACCAACTGAGCCATCCAGGCACCTCTGTCTGTTAAATATTTTTATTGTACATATCAAAGTCATATTAACAAGGTAATCTGGATATTCACAAATAACAGTTGATAGCATAAAATTAGAGAACAAATAACATTAAGATTCTAGACTGTGAGTAATGTTTTATATTATTTTAGGTTATCAAACAGGGGCTCACAGCTAATTCTTTACTAGACAGAGGAATGCAACTTTCAGGATCAACTTCGAAGTGAGTAAAAGTTACATACTTTTGAAGTTCAAAGTCAGTCTTTCTTGATTATTAGATATGTGGCATTTATCCTGAGAAATAACCATTCTTTACTTGACTATAAACTTTATTATTTATTTATTTAAAAAATGTTCCCTTCTAATTCTTTCTTTGACCCATGGCTTATTTAGAAATGCAATGCTTAATTTCCACGTATTTGAGAATTTTAAAAGATACCATTTCATTTTGTAATCACATAGTATGTTCTTTATAATTTTGATCTTTACATTTGTTGAGACTTGTTTTGTACCCCAGCTTGTAGTCTGTATTGGTGAGTGTTCGCAAGCAGTAGAAAAGAGTGTTTTTGCAGTTGCTGGATGGAGTATTATTTCATTTTTTTTTTACAGCTTCTCATTTTTATTTATCCATTCTTACAAATAACATTTCATTGGCCATCATGTGGGAGGAATTGTCCAGGGCCTTGGGAAAATGAACAAATAAGATTAGTTCTGGAACATTTTTTTTTAGATTTTATTTATTTGACAGAGAGAGAGACTACGGGAGCACACAAGCAGGGGAGGGGTCCGCAGGCAGAGGAAGAGGGAGAAGCAGGCTCCCCATTGAGCAGCGAGCCCGATGAGGGGCTCAATCCCAGGACCCTGGGATCATGACCTGAACCAAAGGCAGACACTTAAACCCACTGAGCCACCCAGGCACCCTGGAACAGTTTTAAAAAATGAAGTAATTACCGTAAATAATTCAACTCTATTGTCTGTCATGGCTTTGCCAACATTTCTAAGCAGCCACTAGCATTTCTGTTGGACATAATGAGCAAGCCATAACTTGGCATATTGAAATTGGCAACTACCAAGAATTCAGTTTTGTAGTTTTCATATTTTGGAAAAGCCCCATCAAGTAAATATATCAGCATTTTTTTTCTTACTTGATGTATTAACCATCTTTGATCAGTTTGCATTTTTGCACCTCACTTATCTCTGCAAAGCATTTGGGACATAAAATATCTAATCTGATTCCATGAAAATTTTAGTTGAAATAAATGTATATTTGAGTGGCATTCATCTTAAGGAAATTCTAACTTCTGATCTTTTTCATGGTGTTTTTAATATGTATTTACTTATTAAATTGTATAGTACACCATATACTCCTCTGGAAAAGAAAACTGTTGATAACACAGATGATGAAACGTTGACAGAAGAGTGGACCCTGGATCAACCAGTCTCTCAGACCAGGACCACAGCCATAGTTGAAGTAAAAGGGACTGTTGATATTGTTCTGACTCCTCTGGTGGCTGAAGCTTTAGACAGGTATTAATTTTGTTGAAAAACATAATTTTTAACTACTATTTTATAAAATGATTAAGCATATGTGATATGTGTTCATGAAGAAGATGTTGATGATGGCTATTTTGGTTGAACAAAGATGAAAATATGTTTTAAAAGGTCTGTTATCATTTGTTACTTTTTCAGGATAAATTCTATTGCAATATTAAAATAATTATATTGCATTATATTTTCCATTTTTTGCTTTGGGCTGATAAGCATAAAATGATCAAACACCCAGGAACTAATTATTATTTTTTATATTCTTACTACTATCCAGTCAATGAAGGGATAAAGGGGAAATAATAGATTACTTTGTCCTGCAAGGAGCTTATAGTCTATCAAGGGAGATAAAACTACCATGGATGAAATCTAGAATGGAACATAATGGAACAGTTTAGATAAACTAGGCCATAGTATTAAGTGATATTTAAGTTTTTCATTTACTGTTTTTCTTCCCTCAGGTACATTGAAGCAATGGTTCATTGTGCTAGTACCCGCCATCCAGCTGCAATTGTAGATGATCTCCATGCCAAAGTCCTCAGGGAGGCTGTCCAAAATAGCAAGACTACCTTCTCAGAAAATGTAAGAACTTTATATTCAATGAATTTAGCAAATTGAGTACTCTTCATGTATGCATGATATCTGAACTTGAAAAAAAAATTGAATATTAAAATTTTATCGCCATTTAAATTGGAATACATGGACGTTTCTAAATAGTCTTTATATGTTATTGGCTCCTTAAGAGATACCATATATAACTATACTATGGATTAAATAGCAATAAAATATTTATTAAATTTGTAGTTTTATTTTTTCTTTTATTTCAGAAGTAGCTTAATTGTAAGCCTTTCCTAAAGAACTTTGGTCCTAAGTGAATGAGCATTCTTCCCTGGTACATTCATTTTCTAAGAAAGCAATGCTGATATTATTTTGGCTTTTCTCTGTGATTAGATCATTTGTATCTTAATATTTTTAGATTATTTTTGTTCACTTCAGTGAATCAAGTCCTCATCTGCTGGTGTGTGGAGTCTACTTATGCTGGAGTTCTAGCTATGGGGCCAGTTTCTTAGCAATCATATCCTGATGCTCCATTTGACTTTCCATTTTATCCGGGTCATATTTGGGCTAGAGACCAGAGGCATGGTAAAGTGAGGCTGATTATTTTTAATGATCCAACTATTCAAAACATTGGCATTTCATGTGATATAGGTAGTTAGGGTCGAGGTGCACACATCTTACTACTATTGTAAGAAATTTGAAAATATTCTCAGTCAACAAGGAGCCAATTATCAAATCCAAAATATGCTGTCAAATAAATACATTTTAGTAATTCTAAAATAATACGCCATTTTTTTTTTCTGTTCCCCTGTAGACTGGTTTCACTTTATTTTATATCACTTCTCTCAGCCCTGAAGCTTCTGGTATTTTTCCTACCTTTTCAAAGCTAAACTGGATGGCAGCTGGCATATAGATGGGCATAAGGGAGCACAGTGAATAAGCAAGTTGCTATTGTGGATGTTGTGAAAATTATGAAAGTTCTGTGAAATAACAATTCTGCTTTAATTTCTTTAGCTATCTTCCAAACCAGATGTTAGAGGAACAAAAACTGAACATGCCACCATAGGAACGACTAACCAAGGACAAGCACAGACAAATCTTGTGATGAAGCAAGATAATGTAACAATTAAAGGTCTTCAGGCTAATGTTAGCATACCAAAGGTAACAATTCAATATTTTAAAAAAATTTTCCTGGAAGAGGAGAACATTTTGGTGGTTTTTATCCTTTGTATTTACTAAACTGAATGGTGGTAGAATAGATCATAATATCAAAAATACATATCTTATTCCTTTGATGATCTAATATAAAAATTAATAATAGAAATAGTTTACATAAGTGGGATATTAGGTAGTATTTGCTAAAATATTCCCCTCCCTCCAGTAACAATTGAATTATGATTACTTTATGAGTTTGTGTTTATATATACCATTCCTAACAGTAGTTTTTCATTTTCCTGGATATCTTTATGTTTAAGTGATAATATCTCACTTTTCATCTCTGAAATTTATGACATTTTGTGTGTTAGGTAAACTTATGTTTGTTACAAGCCTCAGTGGAAGAATCTCCAAGTACAGCTCCTAGTAAAAGTGTGACTCATGTTTCTCTAGTAGCATTGTGTTTTGACAGAATTGCTACGCAAGTTCGTATGAACAGGTAAGAAAGATTTTAATTTGAGCCGTAATTTTCTTGTTGGATGTCAAAGCAAGCCATAACCATTTTAATACATATCTGAAAATTCTAATGTTAAAACTCAAAATTGGTATTGGAATTTCAAATATCACTGTAGATTAACAAAGTAGGTTTTTAAAAGTTGGTACTGTTTTTACTCATAACTTTTTCAGTAAACACTGAAAAATTTAGTAATATTGGTTTAATTAAAACAGTGGAATTTTTTTTAAAACTGCTTACTAAATGTTTTTATTGAACTATATTATTTAAATGTTCACCATCATACTTTTTTTTTTCTTTTTCCATAAAGAGGTGTGGTTGAAGAGACTTCAAATACAGAACCTGGTAGAACATCAAATTTTGATAGGTATGTCCATGCCACTAAGATGCAGCCTCAGTCATCTGGATCTCTCAGATCAAATGCTGGAGCAGAAAAAGGCAAAGAAATTGCAGCCAAGTTAAATATTCATCGAGTTCATGGGCAGCTTAGGGGTCTTGATACAACAGGTAGGATTCTACAACAAATGTTTTTTTCTTTGACACATATAAATGTAAGAGGATTTTGCAAAAGAAGGCATGATTTTTTTCAAATATTGCTATAATTTGAATATTTTATAAGAGAAAGGCATTTCTGCATATATTGAACACATGGTATTTAATCTTTACTCATGTTCTATGAGAATGGAAGGTAAACTTTGATAGGACAGTAAGTGGTATGGCCCAAATTAAAGGCACTGCTTCTATCCCCTGTTTTCTTCATTGTATCTGCTTGCTCATTATAGAAGAGGGAGTATGATCTTTATCGTCTTTCTTACTTTTTAAAATCGTTCTGTTGGCACAACTTCATTAAAAAGAATTAATTGCAATATCAAAAGCAGATGGTCAAGTCTGTAAAATACAGTAGCAATTAGAATGATAGATTTGGCTATGCCTCTTAAAATCCCTGGTGAGGTGAAAGAGAAAACTAGAGATGTCACATATCCTTTTAATATTTTTGATGTGATTCAGTACCTTTAGAAGCTTAAATGATCTCAGACTGTCAGAGATTCAATCTAGAAAACACTGAGTTTGTTAGTCTTATTTGAGACGATTTGCTACACTAAAATCTACATGTGGGACAGATGACCAATCCTGAATGAACAAATGATTACCTTGAATTTGCTCATTATATTCTATAGGCTCTGAAGTTCCCATGATTCTTGTCTGTGTTCTGGGTCTGTATAACTGTTGTGGCTTTCTCAAAGCTTATTTCACCATCCTTGTGTTTGAGAGCAAAGCATTTGACCTGAGGATTCCAAATAAAGAGACTTTTCTTGGCTACCTGAGATCTCTCATCCTAAAGCTGGTACAAAATACAGTGGCTTCAATATAAAAACTTTTCTCAGCTCTGTAGTTTGCACTGGTAACCAGTTTGCACTTGCATAAGAGCATAAGAAGTAACTAAATAGAATTTTGAAAAGCACACTATGCAGAAAAAAGTCATCAAAGACAAAACATTGTATAAAAATGCAGGGAAAAATGTAATTGTCTTTGCTTATATGTTCATAATCCTTTCATCTGTGAAAAGATTCTCAATAATCTAATGAAATTTGTTACCTATAGGGAGAGGGAGTGGATTCCTGGGTGTGATTGTCAGAGGCTTTTCATTGTATACCCTTTCACACGTTTTGGATCTTTGATCTGTGCAAGTGTATTACTTAGTCAAAAAATTTAAGTTTAATCCTCACCTTATACATCATAATAAATTCATGGAATTAAAGGCAAATATAAAAAATAAATAATGAGAAAATCATAGAAAAATTCAAGTGAATATTTACTCTCTGATCAGGAAGATTTTCTAACCATAAATGTGAAATATAGTATTTTCATATGATGGAGTATTATATAACTATTATAATAATATCTTTGAAGAATTTTTAATGCCCTCAGGAAGTTATAATGGTTTACTGTCACTTGAAATATGGGAAACAAAGCTGGTTGGTTTCTAAAATCTCTAAAAAGCTAGAAGGAAATTTAATTTGAATGTAAACAAGTTATCTCTGGGTGGTAAATTTACATGGTTTTTTTTTTCAAATCTTTTTTTTTTGCTTTTCTGTATTTACTAGCTGTAATCAGAGAAAGAAATGAAAAAAAGTAAATAAAATACAAACCTTTGCCAGACATGCAGGATATTAGTTTCCATATTGCATATTGTAAGTGGTGGAATTATGGCAATGTCTGTTATGAATTGTAATTATATAAAATGTATTATCATAAAGCAGTCCTTTAGTAAAAGCTATAATTTTTCTATTTTCTAATGTTTTTCCTGTAGCTGGGTAATTAGAATGATTTCTTATTTTGTAAGATGATGAGAAAGTATTTAAAAATAGTTTACCATGAAGTTGAATTGTTCAGGAGCTTTTTTTAATAGATTTTTAGAGTACCCTATAATCTTTCAGAAATGAATTCATTCTGCCTCTGAGCAATTATTTCTCAATTATGGAATCTTTTTTTTCTCCCTTTTACTTCAATGTGATTCTGGCATTTTTTAAACTGTAGACATTATACATTATTTTCGAAGTTGGTTGTCTCATTTATCTTTCTTTTTGGCAGACTATTAAGATATCTTTTTAAGACAGACACGGTGCCAAATGTTTACTTTTTTTTTTTTTTTAATAAAAACCTCTCTGCCTTTAAAAATGGTCATTTTGTTCTCTTTTGATAATAGATATTGGTACCTGTGCCATCACTGCTATTCCTTTTGAGAAGTCCAAAGTTTTATTTACTCTGGAAGAGTTGGATGAGTTTACTTTTGTGGATGAAACTGATCAGCAAGCTGTTCCAGATGTAACTCGAATAGGTCCCAGCCAAGAAAAATGGGGTTGGATAATGTTTGAATGTGGACTTGAAAACTTAACCATAAAAGGTAAGCATTTTTTTTTTCATTTCTGCTTAAGTGAGGTACAAATTGGCCCCACATTGCTGAAATGTTTTGAACAATTGAACAATTGTGACTTTTAATAACCTGAATCAGTATATTTAAGCAGAAAGTTGGGACCTGGGATTTTTTACCAGAGTGGGTGCCCTATCCCAATTGTGTAAGTGGGACTTCCCCTTCAATGTGTGATTAAAAACTAACAGAGCATGTAGAAATACCAAAAAAAAAAAAAAAATCACTGTTTGAACAAAAAAATCTGTGGTTCAGAAAAAGAATTTTGAATAAAATGTAGAGCCACCCAGCTTTTGAAAGTTTGGTCTTTGGAAACTGGATTTTTGATTAGTAGAGCCTTGCAGGATGAAAATACTATAAATCCTTTATTCAGTGACAGACTGACTTACAGTTATATACAGTTTTCTTTTACATTATTGAGTAATATATAAAAAAAAAGGAAGGCTGAGTTATATATAAGACTTTTAGGTTAGTCATATATATATATATATATATATATATATATAATAGTAGTCGAGTATGCCTACAGTTCTTTACCTGATAATCCAGTCTTACATGACTTTTATAGATAAGGGCAAAGTTTTGATGAGAAAAAAAGATCTTTATGAATTTTTATTTTTATTTTTTTGTCTTTATGGGTACTGTACAGTATTGAGATACCCACTGTTTTTAATAAATATATTCATTCATTCTTATAGGAGGAAGACAGTCTGGTGCTGTTTTATATAATACTTTTGGAATTATGGGTAAAGCTAGTGTCACAGAAAGAGGTGGAGTGCTGACATCCAATAATTCTTCTGATTCTCCAACTGGCAGTGGCTATAATACTGATGTCTCTGATGATAATCTTCCCTGTGATCGAATAAGCCCTTCTTCAGACTTAAATGGAAATTCTGTTTCAGATGAACAAGTTGGTGAATTTTTAATAATAATAGTGCTTTGAAAAAATAACAAAACTACATACCCATTTCAAAATTAATTTCTGGAGTATATTTGCTTCTTTCAATATTTGGAGTTTTGCTTAAATTGTAGTCAAGATATTTTGGTGATTCTACTACTACTAGAATATAATTTCTGAAGCATAGGTACCGTACCGTAGATATATCTATCATAGTACCTTGTTTAATGCCTTGCTCATATTGGGCACTTAATAATATTTGTTGAATTAATGAATGAATAGAATTTCAGAAAAGTAGGCATTGTTTTGATGTTTCAAGGATTTTAGCAGAATTCATGGAAATACTTAGTTTTGTCACTGGTAGTATTTCATGTAAGTTCTAAATATTTTTGTCACTATCCACCCATTTCAGCTAGAGTCCTGAAGAATACCTTATATGCAACTCATTTATTATTTTTATTATGGTAGACTGTCATGATGATTAATAATAGCAATAATAAAAATATTGAAAATTCTAGACTACGGAAGAGTTGTACCACTAACTGATGGGTGCAAGTTTTTTCCTCTTCAAAATTTCTTCGTTTATAATAATATTGTAAGGATACTGACCTTCTAGACTTGTGAAGACTGAAATAGATAATACATATAAAAGGCTTAACTCAGTGTCTAGCACGTAGTAAGAACTTGGTAAATGTTGTTTTTAAACACATATGTACATACGTTTCTGATCATTTGGAAATTAGACCAATTGAAGAGAAAAGAAACCACCTTTTAATTAAGAAATGTCATGGATATGGGGGCCTGGGTGGCTCAGTAGGTTAAGCAGCTGCCTTCAGCTCAGGTCATGATCCCAGGGTCCTGGGATTGAGCCCCATGCTGGGCTCCCTGCTCAGCGGAGAGAGACCCTGCTTCTCCCTCTCCCTCTGCCTGCCTCTCTGCCTACACCTGCTCTCTCTATATAGCTCTGTCAAATAAATAAATAAAATCTTTTTCTAAATTAGAAAATGTCACAGATATCTACCATTCATTGGCATAATCACCTCTGAACCCCAGGTTTTTGGTAATTTATTTTTTGAAATATTTATTTTGATTTGATGCATAGTTCAAGAGTTTAATCACAGTTTTCTTGTTAGGTCTTTGGATGTGTTTGAGTGGTGGTTGGGGATTAGCACATTAATTAAGGAAATTAAAAAATATAATAGCTATTCACTGGACAAAAGAGCTGGGAAGAGCCCAGCTGTTCTTTCTTTCTCCTCTATCCCACTGAAACACTTGATAGAAGCTCAGATGTCAGGGCACCCGGTCGACTCAGTCATTAATCGTCTGCCTTCAGCTCGGGTCATGGTCCCAGGGTCCTGGGGTGGAGCCCTGCATCTGGCTCCCTGCTCTGCTGGAAGCCTGCTTTTCCCTCTCCTACTCCCCCTGCTTGTGTTCCCTCTCTCGCTGTGTCTCTCTCTGTCAAATAAATAAGTAAAATCTTCAAAAAAAAAAAAAAAAGCAGCAGCTCAGATGTCTTCCTTGGTCCCTCTGATCCTTGTCTCTTTGCTGAATGTCCCTAAATTTTGTAACATTGCTTTCTTTGGGTTCTCTAACTTTTCCTGGTCCATATCCTCATTCAGTTCTTTGTCCTTAAATGTAGATGTTCTTCCCATGTTCTGTTCTTGGCTACTTTTCTTTTTTTTTTTGCTGTATGTCCACTCCCTGATTTATTTTATTTTCTAGTCCTCCATAATTTGATGACACTAACTCTTTCCCATCGGTTATGCTTTTAGCACCAACCTTTCAGTTGAGCTCCAGAATTGTATGCAGTGGCCTTTTAGCTGTCATCATTTACACATGCCATAGGTACCAAAAATTTTGTCAACCTAAATCCAACTTTTTTTTAAATCTTTTTTTTTTTAATTTTATTTATTTATTTGACAGAGAGAAACACAGCGAGAGAGGGAACACAAGCAGGGGGAGTGGGAGAGGGAGAAGCATACTTCCCGCCGAGCAGGGAGCCCAATGTGGGGCTCGATCCCAGGACACTGGGATCATGACCTGAGCTGAAGGCAGACGCCCAACAACTGAGCCATCCAGGCGCCCCTAAATCCAACTTTATTATTGCTTTGCTTCACATACTATTTTAATTAGTTGCTTATTATCTGTAAGCCTCCTTCCCTTTTTAAAATTTTGAGTTCTTGAAGACTGTCTTCTCTATCTTTTGTATACGTTAGCCCTAGCTCACAGCCTTGTCTGAAACCCACAGGTCAGATGTATTTGAGAATTCAGATTTTTTTTTTTCCTTTAACAGAAAGGTAATATGGTGTGTGTTTTATATGTTACATAAACTCCTAGTGGAATCTGAGACAGCATTCCATCTTGAAATATTTGAATACTTTTACAGGACAACATTCATAAAAATTCCAAGTGGGATAAACAGCCTCTCGTCAAATTCAGATCAGGTTTTGATGCCACATTTACACAAAAATATTTAGATTTCTCAGAACGTTATGAGTTTTAGAGCTGCAGATAAGGAATGTGGACTTATATATCTAGCACGTCTGACTTTAAAATTACTATTGCCTATAGTCACATTGTTTTGTAGCACTTAGGATTCAAAAAACTATTTTGTGGATATTCTGCATTCCTTAGTCATCCCACAAGAAAATGCCAGTGTTCTTCATCTTGACCAGTAATAACTAAAAGTGAATTAGCTGTGAGGAGACAGAACAGGCAGTAGACTTTTTTGTTTGCTTCTTTACTATTATGCTTACTTCCCTGCATTCTAAAGAGTAGTGATTATACATTTAAAAAATTATTATTTCTTAACATTGATTCAGATTGCTAGCATATAAGATAACTAAGAATTTTTTTATTGTAGAGTGTTATTTATTTGAACATGGACTACACTAGTATTTTTATGGCACTTGTTTTTGGAAATTTGAAATATGTTGTTAAAATGGATTGGAAAAAAAATGGAATGGAAAACATTGTAGTAGGAAACAGAAGACTTTGATTCTATCACTCATTCTCCTTAATAATTGTATGACCTTCAACAGGTCACAAAACCTCTTTCTCTCACTTTTTTCATCTGGAAAAAATAACACTTAAACATCCCTAAACAAATGTAATTGAATGAAATGATCAGGAGAAACATTCAGTTCCAAGCTCAGTGATTTATGGCTTACTAAAATGTAGTGGTTTTTCAGACTATGCTCCTTAGAGCTTCAAGGATCTATAGGTATTTCTCAGAATTAGGGTTAGGCTGAGCAAGGTTTATGTTACCTGTTTTATATAAAGGTGTCATCTGTAGAACTTGATGTGATGGGAAGATTTTGTGCTTAAAACATTTACCTTGGCACTAATGGTTTTAAGCAGCTATACATTATAAGTTTTTGGTTTTTGATTTTATGTAGGATGAAGGAGTTGAATCTGATGATTTGAAAAAAGATTTACCTCTGATGCCTCCACCTCCAGATTCATGTAGCATGAAGTTGACCATCAAGGAAATTTGGTTTAGTTTTGCAGCTCCCACCAATGTGAGATCTCCTACACATGCATTTTCTAGGTAAAAAGTTTTAAACATGTAGTACTATTCCTTGATTTTTCATTTTAAATAACATATAACTCTGTTTCAGTTATTTTTTTAAATTATTTTTCTGATCTATCTAGCATTAGGGTTGCCACCTTCTTACCATCTTTCCTACTTTATGCTTTCTGTAGACATTATTCTTATCTTGTTTGACCCTTTTTCTTTCCTAGGGCTTTAGTTTTACTATTATATGTCATGCCACCATGAACTTCTTACTCTCACCTCTAATAGGTTTTAATGTTTTCTTCATTTCTATTATCTGTTCTTCACATTTTCTACTTATATGTTCATAATTTGTCTGGTAGCCAAAATGAAAAGTAATTTTGCCTAAGCAAAATAGCCACTAAGTGCAGTAGGTATGGGAGATTGTTTGAAATACAAATCTTGACAGTTGTTTTTATAATTTCTTTTTTTTTTAATTTTCAAAGGCAGCTGAACCTTTTAAGCACTGCAACTCCAGCTGTTGGTGCATGGCTTGTTCCCATTGATCAACTCAAATCATCCTTAAACAAATTAGAAACTGAGAGCACCTTGAGAATTTGTGCTGTTATGGGATGTATAATGACAGAAGCATTAGAGGTATGTCTATCAACAGTACAAGGTATCTTATTATTGAACATGATCTCTAATTGTTCATCGTTGGAAAACATCAGACCTGCAAGTTCTTGATTACTGGATATCTTCTATTTGCAGTGTCTTTGATACATCACTCTAAATCTGTTGTTTTTGCTTTGTTTCAGAATAAAAGTGTACATTTTCCCTTAAGAAGTAAATACAACAGACTTACAAAAGTTGCCCGTTTTCTCCAAGAAAATCCTTCATGTTTACTGTGCAATATACTACATCACTACCTGCACCAGGCAAATTACTCCATCATTGATGATGCTACAATGGTGAGTTACTGAAACCATATGTTAGCTTTAAAGAAGCCTCTATTCTTGGGGCGCTGGGGTGGCTCAGTCAGTTAAGCTTCTGACTCTTGGTTTTGGCTCAGGTCATGATCTCAGGGTTGTGAGATCAAGCCCTGTTTTGGGCTCCATGTGGAGTCTGCTTGGGATATTTTCATCCCCCCTCTCTCTGTTCCTCTCCCTGCTCATTCTCCCAATCTCTCTCTCTCTCTTTCTAAAATAAATAATCTTAAAAAAAAAAAAAAGGAAGCCTCTGTCGTTTCGAGGAGTCATTCATTGGCCTACAGGGTTTGAGATGCAGATGGGAAGTTCAAAGGAGAAATATGGTTAAAAATACAGGCTTATAGACAACAGTGGGCTCAGATAAGTGATTTGGGAATTGCCAACATGAAGGTATTCGAAGCTGTGGATATGGATGAGACTTCTAGGAATGATGGTATGTTGAGGGAGAAACTGGTCAAGAATGGATATCTGAAGAGCACCAAAATTAAAGGGGGGTGGTGAAGAGAAGGTAAATAAAGCTATACAGAATGCTGAGGAGGGAAAGGAAGAGGTAGGAGAATTAGGAAAAAATGTCTTAGTTAAAATGTTAAAATAGTGGTGGTTCTTAATCTTTGAAGGGAGTAATTTCATTTCCTCTTTGTTTAATGAATATTCCGGGTAGTTCAAAATACATTTGATTTCCTCAATAGAACAAAAAAGGTAAAGTGGATTGAATGCTTCTTAAGGAGAATCCCAATCTTGCACCCCGTATTTAGCCTCTTATTCACCTGGTACTGCATTGTTTGTGACAGAAAGACACAATGTTGTGTTTAGAGATTGAGTTCTATTGTCAGCTTGAAATACTCTCTTTTGTGACCTTGGACAAATTATAACACATAAATTCTAGTTTCTTCATCTCTAAATGGGGGTTATGAGATTTAAATGAATAAATGTATACAAAGCATTTAAATGGTAACATTATTACATCATTGTTGTTACAGAGTGATGGACTTCCTGCTTTGGTAACATTAAAGAAAGGTTTAGTTGCATTGGCAAGGCAGTGGATGAAGTTTATTGTGGTGACACCAGCCTTTAAAGGAGTTAGCTTACACAGACCAGCTCAGCCACTGAAACCTCAGTCAGCTGTGGACCATGAACATGAAGACGGACTTGGGTTAGACAATGGAGGTGGTCTTCAAAGTGACACCAGTGCTGATGGAGCAGAATTTGAATTTGATGCAGGTAGTTTGTAAATATTTTAGTCAAATATAGCCAGATATTGGTAACATATATATGTGATAATGTGATATGAATATGTGATAATTTTAATCATTTGTGTCTGAAATTTGAAACCCTTATGGCTTAATTATACAAGTATGATTTGTATTAGTCCAAATAAATGATAATAATGTTGTAATCTTTATACTGACTTTTGGTTTTTACATTTAATTTCATGAAATATGATAGATTTCTTCTCATCTATCACGTACAATAACAGACATCTTTACATAGCTAGAATATTTGAATGAAGCATGTTAAAACTTCCTTTAAAAATTCACATTTGAAAAAAATAAAATTCATATTCATATTTGTTCATCATCTTTCCTATGCCACTTAAAAGAGTCTTTGAATTTTATCTGGTGCCTGGTTGATTCCGCATTTATGTAATGTTTAGAGTCATGCATTCAGCCTACAGTTCTGTCAGCAAAATGACTGTGCCAGAACACAGACACTAGATATGCATTTCAGAAATATATGTGCACATTTTAATGCTTTTTCAGGGGTAAACTTTTGTTATCACAACATGTAATATTCAGTAATATTGAATTATGATATTTTGGAAAAAAATGTTAAAAGTACCATGAAAAAGGACAGTAGCCTTAAAATTAGAGCTTTCAGAACATTGATATATAATACTTTACCCAGCTTTTTTTATTGTCTTTAAAAAAAAAAACTTTATACTTAAAAGTGAATATGCTATGAGGAAGGGTGGGGTGCCTGGGTAGTTCAGTTGGTTAAGCATCCGACTCTGTTTCGGCTCAGGTCCTGATCCCAGGGTTGTAATATCAAGCCCCATGTTGGCTCCCTTCTAATTAACTGTCTGCAAATTCTTGGATTAATCTGAAAGTTCTGTACTTTGAGCCTAGTTGGTTTTTTTTCTTCTCTAAACCCTTTGGCTGGGATGTGGAGGGACTGAATACAAGCTATTTGTTCCTTTCTTGAGACTGAGTGAGAAGATTGGGGTTGGGAGAGTAAAAGAAACACAAAAAATAATATAGCAGATTCCACAATTAATTTCAAGGAAATTTAATTAATTTAATTTGTTTACTCAAGGAATATGTAAAGTTGAGTGGTAGTTAACACCACCAGGAACACTGGTATTGATGTTTCAAGAAAATGATAATCTATAGCCCACTTACTCTTTTGAACTGTTTCAGCCACAGTCAGTGAACACACAATGCTACTAGAAGGAACAGCCAACCGTCCTCCACCTGGTAGCTCTGGACCTGTAACTGGAGCTGAGATAATGAGGAAACTTTCTAAGACTCATACCCACAGTGACTCTGCATTAAAGATAAAGGTACATTATTGCTGTTTCTGGTTAGAGTAGACTTCCAGAGAAGACCTAAATTTCTGATATCTCAAATTCAAACATTAGGTGTTTAAATTTAAATATTCAAATAGTATTTTATATTCAAGAATTAATAATTTAATAGTTGAGTAATAATAAATATTTTTATGTTGAAATGAACATGATTAGCAACATAAACAGTTTGAGTTAGGCTATTTTATGATTTTAATTACACTGTTTTAAGAAACTTAACCAATGCTTGGTAAGACATGTATATAGCAAGGTGGTTGAATACTACCTTGGGAGCCAGACAGCCTTGGTTTCAATTCTGCCTCTGCCACTTAGTTGTTTTGTGACTGAACAAATTTTTAACTGTACCGCGTGTCAGTTTCCTTATCTGTAAGATTGAGATTACAATAGTAACTTTTTCTAAAATATGGATGTTAAGAAATAACTGTTAATACATGAAAAATGCTTAGAACAATACCCACACGTAATAAGCATGTAAGTTATTTGTTGTTGTCGTGGGTTATTTATGTTTTGTTAGTTTCCTTTTCTGAGCAATGAAAATGACAGACAATTAGTATTTTAACTTTCTTTGAAAGTTTGGGTATAGACTTACATTAGTACTCAGAATCTGTAAGGTAAATGACTGATAATTTTGCCATATTAAAATATAAGATTTCTACACAGAAAAAATAATGTATTATAAACAAAATAGACATATGACAAAGGGCTAATTTCCTCATATATAAGGATCTTTTTTCTAATCACTAAGAAAAAGAGCACAATCAAATAAAGAATTGGTTAATGGGCAGTTCACAGAGAAATACACACACAAATACAAAAATGTATCCTTTTATGATTAAAGAAATATAAGTTAAAATGAGATTTCATGGAGCACTGGGTATTATACGAAAACAGTGAATCATAGAAACTAATGGTATATTGTATGGTGACTAACATAATAAAATAAAATTTAAAAAAAATCAGCAGCTTCATTTAAAAAAAATGAGATTTCCATTTTCACGATTCAGATTGAAAACACTAACATTTGAATGGTGTATGTTGGTGAAGATAAGGAAAAACAGACATTCTCCTACAGTACTGGTGGGAGTGTAAATTGGCACAAACTCTTTGAAGACCAATTTGGCATTTTGTATCAAAATTTAAAATGTAATATTCTTTCACCCAGTATGTTCATGTCCAGGAATTTGTTCTAAGGAAATGAATGCTCATAAATGCTGAGAGACACATGTGCAATAATGTTCTTTACAACACTGTTTATAATAGGAAAATAATGGAAGCAACATAAATGACTATTTGAGGACTAATAAACTAGTGTATCCTGATACAGAGATGCATACCATAAAGACTTCAGAAAGATATAGATCTCTAAGTGGGTATGGAATGGTTACCAAAGTACCTGGATTAAAGTAAAAACAAAATATAAAACAATATGTATCTGTGTGTTAAAAAAGGATAAATAGGTACATGTGCTTATATAGTTATAAATTATTTAAGGAGGAGAGATAAGAAAAGTTAAGAGTACTTCTAGGGGAAGGGATCTAGTAGACGAGCTCAGGGGATACAATTTATTGAATTGTCTGTGCTTTTAAAGTTTTTATTCTGTATAAGTATTGCTCTTTTAATTAAAACAGTCAATGATAGTTTAATATACATTTTTTTAAAAATTTGAACTATTAAGCTTATTCTATTTCTATAGTATAGTTTGAAGCCAGGATACTTTTAAATTCTCACATCCTTAATCAGTCTCAGATTTTTTTCCCGTTCAATGGTTTTTCCTAACCCTACCAACATTCCTTTGTTTATGAATTATAAAAGTCCTCCAAAAAATTGAATTGCACTGTTTTGTTTCCGATTTCTTCTTTTCAGGATCTTTCTGTCTGTATAGTCTTTTCTTATACTCTTTTAAGCTGATCTGAAATTCTGAGCTTAGATGTGACAGAACAGATAGAGATGGGCAATTCTGTAATTTTTTAATTTTCCTCAGAGAATTGCTGGAAATTGTTTTTGGCATATTAGGACTCTACAGAGAATCTCTTACAGATTTTCATTATCAAGGTACCAACAAGAGTAGTATAGTATTAAGAATTTTGGGATTGAAATCTTGCCACCAGACACACTTTTTAGATTTCAAAGGGAATTAATAATTCATTATTAAAATAAGTGAATGATAAGAGCTGTCCTTGGTGTTGTACTGTAAAGTTTTAAAACATGTTTGTGTACATTTGAGATTCACCACAATCCTAGTAGGCACAATCTGTTTTGGTATTAATGTGAATAGTAATTAGCAGTAATAGCAGCAGTACTAGTAGTGTTAGTTATTAGCAGTCATTTTTATATGCATGAGAAAGAGCCCTGTGTTGTTCCTTTTGTAGGGTATTCACCCATATCATTCTTTGAGCTATACCAGTGGAGACACTGCCACAGATTCTCCGGTACATGTTGGACGTGCTGGGATGCCAGTTAAGGAGAGTCCAAGGAAGGAGAGCCTACTCAGCTACCTGACTGGAAGCTTCCCAAGCTTGCACAACCTCCTAGAAGGGACTCCTCAAAGAAGTAGTGCAGCTATAAAAAGCAGCTCCCTAACGAGAACAGGTACTTCCTCAGTTTTGACAATTATAAGTTTACTTCTATGTGAGAATTAAAAAACAAACAAATAGGACTTAAGTTTATTTTGCTTTATTCTTTGGTTGTATAACTTATCTATGTATTACACCTTATCTTTGAAAAAGTAGTTTGGGAAACTGTTCTGTTTGTAACTTGTTGGTATCTTCATGCCCTTAGTTTGCATTTCTAAATTGCAGCATTTGATATTACTATCAGCCTAATCAGGGTATGAGATGATGTCTAAGCCATCCAACAGTGAATTTCTTCTTGTTATATTAAAAAGAAGTTGTTTATTAGTGCCTTAATATCCAAATACCAACATCATGCAGTGATTTTGAAAACATCTGCAAAAGACAGTTTGGTCTGACTTTTAAAAAATAATTACATAAATCACATTTTCTGCTTATTACATAAGTAATACTATACTCAATAAAATTTTATTTTCAGGAAATACAATGGCCACTGATATGTTATCTGAACATCCCTTGCTATCTGAGCCATCATCTGTGAGTTTCTATAATTGGATGTCAAATGCTGTGGGTAATCGTGGAAGTGTGGTACAAGAATCTCCTGTTACAAAATCCACGCACAATAGTCTTCCATCAGGTATTGAGTTATCATGTTATTTTGCTTAACTGTCTAAGGGACATATGTAAATTTTAACAAAATTCTATTTTTCACAGAATGGTCAAAATATCAAATGTTTAATACTGTTTAGTTGAAATTTGCCAGTTTATGAAATGCCTTTGTTAATACTGAATTGAGAGAATTGTAAGCAGTCACTTGGTATTCTTGTGAGAAGACAAATACGCCATATGTGAGATCTTATGTAATTTAAATTAGAGTTTAAAACGTCCAATTAATGTGGCCGGTTTAATTTTAAAAATGCCAAAAGGAGGTAAATGAAAAAATGTGAAGAATATGGCATAATGTACCTATAATACAGAAAATATTTTAGTTTATTCAGATTCCTCTGAGAAATAATAATAGCATTCTTTTACTCTTATAGTTACTTAAATAATTAAACCTAAAGGTGTACTAAGAGGAATAAAATAAGATTTTGTCTTTGAGGAAGAAATGAGGGCAACTTATTAATTTTAAAAGAATACGTGTAAAGAGCAAGAACACTGGCAGGGAATTCACCAAGAAATGTTGGTGGCTATCTCCAGAAACATGAGTGGTGCCACCCTTCATTTTCTATTTTTTTCTTTTTGGGATATTTTTCCAAATTTAGTGGATGCATGTATTCTTGTAAAAAAAAAATTTTTTTTTAAACATGTGAAGTAGACTTTGATCCTAGGTACTGAAGGCAGCTGAAATTAATCCATGTAACAGCTATTTGCATTGCTAGCAAATTCTGTTCATATAGAAAATACGATATGAAATATGGTTGATAAGTGACTACTCACTCAGCCCTTTGTTTTGCTGGTATGTGGATCACTCTTGAATCTGAAACTAATCCTAGTTATGACTGCATTCCAGTTCTTAGCATTGGCTCTTCTTTGAAGGAGAGAAGAGGACGCTGTTTCCGCCAGCTCTCAGCACTGTTGTAGCACAGTCTCACTACTGCACAGTTTAAATTTTGAGAAAACCAAAAAAGAACATTTCCTCTTTCTCATGGATCCTTTGCCTGGGCGTTAGAGGATAAAGGGAATACAGAGGAAAGAAATAGCACCGTTTTATTTTTGTTCTGCCTCGGGAAAGCATAATTGGAAAGAAATTTACATGTGGGACTCTGTGACATCTGTGGCTTTTGCCCTGCTGCTGTCTGTAACTCTGCTCCTCAGTGCAAAGCTGAGGGGATATCAAATGCTTTTCAAAGATCTCCCGGCCATAAATTTCTGTATTTTTGACTGACTGGCTCTAATACAGACTTCATGTATGAGAATGACTGATATTTTCTGAAGTTTTAGTTTAATTTCATTTTTATTATTAAATCATGTCTGTAAAATGACCAAAAAGTGCTGTTTGTTTTGGTTTTTTTTTACCTTTATTCAGTGTAAATGGTCTGGTAATACTGCTGTAATACAGGCTTCATAAGTTTACTTTGCTGTGCCCTTTTATGTTGTTTTTATTTCCTCTTAATTCAGATTTTACTCTTGAACATTTACTCTGTTAGGTGTTGCACCCAATCTTCCTACAATACCCTCAGCCTCAGATTTCAACACCGTCTTATCTAGTGACCAGAATACTTTGGATGGAACACATTCTCAGCATAGCACTAGTCAGGATGATGTGGCAGGTGTAGAAGAAGCCAACCAAGGGTTTCCTGCTGTGCAGCTTGCTGATGCACAGGTGAGCCAGTCTATTTTTCCGTAATTATAGTAACCCCTCATTAGGTAATTCTTAGCAGCTGGAACCATCCAGTCATCTGCACCTTGGAATTCTAGTGAAAATCTTTTTTGTGTGCTTGTCAGTCTAAAGTCTTCATGCAAAAATGGAGGAGCCTTTTAAAAGTACCTGGGTTAATTACAGATGCTAATTTAGCATCTATAGATATGCATTAAACAGAAGAGTTTAACTATAGACAACTATAATTAGTTGTCATATAATAGCATTTTTGTTATGTGGAGATACAGATTGGCTAAATAACATAACTAGAAATTAGAAGACTGTGTTAAGTACTATGTTAAGACTTTACTGAGTGAGCATTTGGGAAGCCCTGAAGATTTTAGAGCAGAGGAATTAAGTGACTACAACTGTACATGTAGAAATATTATATGGGTAGCAATGTGTTAAATGGATTGAAGTAGAGACACTATAGGTGAAAAGATGAGTTATTGAAGTAGTTCACATAAGTGGTAAATGAGGCTTTTAACTTAGATGGTTGTGGCTTTGATAGGGTAAAGGCAAAATAATGTGAAGGTCTTATTCAATTGATCAAATATAAGAGTGGAGAGCAAAATCCTTTGAAATGTATATTTTAGTCCAAATGATCACACAGCAAGTGGGTGAGTGGGACCATGGGTATTAAGAGGTGTTATTTTTTCAGGATGAGAGAGATTCCAGCATAGTTACATACTGAGGAGGAATTAGGAAGGTCCTGATCAGAAAAAGAAAAAAGGGTAAACTAATAGAGCAAGATTCAGAGAGGGATGAGGACTGTTGGAATTTAGAGTCACTCATAGAGAGAGATGTTTTAGACATAAAAAATTACTTTTTTCCTCTGAGAAACTAAGAAGGCAATAAGAACAGTTCACAATTATACAGGTAAGTTTGCAAATTGGTAGCTTCAATTTTCTCTTAACATAGAAAGTAATTTATGTTAAGAAATGTGTCAGGCACTTTTAAATTTTCTTGAGATTTACTTCTCCAATACACTGGAGTAGTTTTTAGGGACTTCATTTTTTTGTTAAAGGAGAGTGGGAAAATAAATAACCTTTTTGTTGTTGTTTTGGCCTATAGAATACATTAATTGTATTTATTAGCATTCAATACATATTTTTAGAAATAATTATATTGTTTTACATATAAGATTCTAAAATCCACTAGAAACATGAATATAAATAATACAGTAAAAAACTCTGTAAGGTGATTTAGATATGTGTACAGGTTGGCGTGAATATGAAAGAGAGCTTACCACAGACTCCCTAAAAGGATTGCCAAATAGTGCTGAGGGCCTAGTTAAGAGTTTAGGTTAGTGTTGGGGTACCAATGAATGTAGTTATATCATTTCCTTTCATTGTTCCTAGCAGCTCAGCTATGGGAGTATAAGAGGATTGATCCAAAGCAGATATAGCAAGAAAAATGAGGTGATAGATATAAACTGTCTAGGAAGTTGCTGAAATGGAGTTTAAGCCAAGATTATGGGAGGAAAAAGAAGTCACATAACTTTGGAACTGAAATGTTGGTTGAGTTATCTGCATGGTCAGAGAAGTCACTCAGGATGATAAATTGGGATTGAAAAGAAAAAGAGGAAAGTCAGTCAGGAACCAAAGTTTAGTTAGGAGGATTAACAAGTTGAGGGATAAATAAATGACACACATTAGAAAAGATGGAGGATGGTTTGAATCTTGAAGAGGGAAGAATTTTTCCATTAGAATGAAAGAGTAAAACCCAAAAAAGAATATCCCAAGTTAAGTATATAAAGGAGAGGGAATTTCTCCCTAAGGTTCCAATCTAGTGTACAATTGTTGGAATTCTCTGTTCTAGGCCATTAGACCTGAACAAGAGTAGGCTGTCTTCCCAAGCACAAACAAATGAGATAATCTAGAGATAATTGAACATGTAGACTTAGGTCTTAATACATAAATGGCACTTGTCCATTTTAATAGTATCATTTAACTTTCAGGTAAAGATTACTAAGGGAGATGTACAGGGAAAGGGTTACAAGAGGGCCATGGAAAGTACAGGATAACACCTATATTTTGGATATGGAAGGAGGAAAAGGAACCATGCAGCAAAGAATAAGCAGAGTGATTATAGTGATCAACTATTGAACACATGTAGTTGCTTCTGTTTGGGTTAGCTCTTCATGACTACAAAATCAGTTAATAAGAGATTTAACCAGAATGATTTATTTCCATAAGCTTGTATGATACTTTAAAGGAACTTTTTTTTTTCAGAAAATAAATGTTAAATGACTGTTACAACCAAATGATACCATTTAAAAAGAAGTCATATGTTCATAATATTACACATGAAATGTTTTTATATTAACATAGGAAGTTGGTAAACTATTCTAATATACCAGATTTCCATTTTTATGGAAACAGTATATATTCATGCCTTTTTAAAAAGCAAGAAGTAGAATGATTTAAATTAGTTCACAATTTTATTTTCCTTGTCCTTTCAGACACTCAGGCAAGATAGAGAAATCTTTGTCCTTGTGATTAATTTGAAGATGAGTGGCATATAATATGTGCTGAAAAGTACTGTTAAGGTTTTTTTTTATTATGTTATGTTAATCACCATACATTACATCATTAGTTTTGATGTAGTGTTCCATGATTCATTGTTTGTGCATAACACCCAGTGCTCCATGCAGTACGTGCCCTCTATAATACCAGGCTAACCCATCCCCCAACCCCCTCCCCTCTAGAACCCTCAGTTTGTTTTTCAGAGTCCATAGTCTCTCATGGTTCGTCTCCCCCTCCGATTTACCCCCCTTCATTTTTCCCTACTATCTTTTTTTTTAACATATTTTTTAACATATAATGTATTATTTGTTTCAGAGGTACAGGTCTGTGATTCAACAGTCTTACACAATTCACAGTGCTCACCATAGCACATACCCTCCCCAATGTCTATCACCCAGCCACCCCATCCCTCCCACCCCCCACCACTCTAGCAGCCCTCAGTTTGTTTCCTGAGATTAAGAATTCCTCATATCAGTGAGGTCATATGATACATGTCTTTCTCTGACTGACTTATTTCGCTGAGCATAATACCCTCCAGTTCCATCCACGTCATTGCAAATGGCAAGATTTCATTCCTTTTGATGGCTGCATAATGTTCTATTGTATATATATATATATATATACACACACCACATCTTCTTTATCCATTCATCTGTCGATGGACATCTTGGCTCTTTCCACTGTTTGGCTATTGTGGACATTGCTGCTATAAACATTGGGGTGCACGTACCCCTTCAGATCACTACATTTGTGTCTTTGGGGTAAATACCCAGTAGTGCAATTGCTGGATCGTAGGGCAGCTCTATTTTCAACTTTTTGAGGAACCTCCATACTGTTTTCCAGAGTGGTTGCACCAGCTTGCCTTCCCACCAACAGTGTAGGAGGGTTCCCCTTTCTCCGCATCCCCGCCAACATCTGTCGTTTCCTGACTTGTTAATTTTAGCCATTCTGACTGGTGTGAGGTGGTATCTCATTGAGGTTTTGATTTGGATTTCCCTGATGCCGAGCGATGTTGAGCACTTTTTCATGTGTCTCTTGGCCATTTGGATGTCTTCTTTGGAAAAATGTCTGTTCATGTCTTCTGCCCATTTCTTGATTGGATAATTTGTTCTTTGGGTGTTGAGTTTGATAAGTTCTTTATAGATTTTGGATACTAACCCTTTATCTGATATGTCATTTGCAAATATCTTCTCCTAAGTTTTAAGTAAAATTAGAGTTATATTTATTACACAAGTCCTTTTTTTTTTTGTTACACTACAGTATTGACATATGTATTGAGGTAGAGTAAGAAAAAAGCCACAGTAAATGATGAATTATAAGTTAAGCTAATTAATGAACATGTTATGTCTTTTAGGTTGTTTTCAGACCTCTTCTCAGTCATACAGGGATTCAGTCACAGGATGCAATGCCACTCTGCTACCGAATGTACTTTGGAGAACACCTTTCATTTTCAGGGACTTTGGACTGCCTTAGAGCAGATATTGTGGATTCGGACACAGCCAAAGAGAGAAAAGGCAAAAGAGCAAGAAGGTGTCTTGTGTTATTGTTCTTTTTGTGTAAAATGTTGTATACAGGTTAGAGTATCTTTTTTTAACTTTGTTTTCCTCTAATGCTAATGAGAGTAATTTTAATATCTTAATGAGAAGATAACTTCCATTTATCAAAAATAACCTCATTTTAATAACCTGTGGATTTTCTAGGTTGTGAGGTCTATGCTGAGACTTCATTTTGTGCCATGTTAGCATGTGTATGTGGGTCAGCCAAAGTACATTTGTTGTGTATATCCTCAGAATTTGTTTACTGTTGCTGTGGCTGAATTTTTATGATCTTATGCATTGTAATTTTATATATTTTACTTAGAATTATTCCTAATTGCCTTTCTGAGTCAACTTGCATTATTTTCTATTAGAAACAACGTAGAAGGCATATTGAGAGTATGGCCATGAGAAACAGGAATGCTAAATGTAGCATGGTGAAAGTTAAGAACCATCTTTTACTGTCATTATTATCAGGGATAGTTCTTTAGTTTCTTTATTGCTTGAATAGGAAATATTATGCCCACTAATAATATTTGATTAATCCTTTTGTGAACATTAAATTTTACTTTGCATGGGTCTCGCTGATGTGATATAGATAGGAACAGTAGAATATGGATATAGGTGTCAATTATGACAAGAGGTTTTTGCAACATTCTTCGTTTCATCCAATTTAGGTTCTTGCAAGGTGGTAGATTAAAAATAAATGCACATGTATCGCACATTTAACTAAGTGAAGTATGTTTTCTATTTGAAATATTCTATTTAAAAATTTAAATAATTTGACAATCAGTTTAAACATTTTTACAGAAATTATTAATAGAAAAATAGAGCTTTCTCAAATTTTGTTTCAGGTCTCGATATCTGAGGATTTTCTAATGACACAGGAACATGGAAATTGCATTGTCTTTTCTATTAAATATAAGACAGTCACTGCTTTTCATAGTGTTATATCATAACAGTGACTGGCCAGCTGAAGCACCACAAAGTGACCTTAATGATTATCAAGATTAGTGGGGAAAATTACCTTTGTTTTGTGACCTGGAAAAAATGTTTGTTAAAACATTAAATACTCTATTACTGCTTATTATAAATGTGTAGGGAAATGAAAAATACAGTAAAACTAATACTTAGTACATCAAAATTTAAAACATTAGAAACACTGAGAATTAAAGTGTCTTCAATTCTAAAAATCTCATCAAAGGATAGTTTGAAAAGCCCTTGCCATCTTATCATCATATAACTTACAATACAGAAAGAGCATCTTTTCTGTACCTTGACATAATGCTGTACTCCATTGCAAGTATGGATGAGTTTCCAACACTTTTTCCTTTGCACTTTTAATGTCATGAAATACCATCACGAGTTCCTTTTACTATGAAATTTTTTGCCAGCATCACTTCCTCTGGGATATTGTCATCCTTACAACTTTGGCTATACCGTGCCCATGCCAGCTCTTTATCTGTCTGGCTACTTTTGTCTTAAGTGACTGCTTCATTATATACCAATGTTTTTTTCCCCTTTTACTTGAATCTCCTCTCTTTAAGACTTTCTTGCTTCCCTTATATGTTTTTAATTCTTGTTTTTGCAGTTGTGGATTATTTTAATTTCTTTAGAGTCTTCTCTCTCTTGTCCATTCCACTTCTCAGAATCCAGTCTTTCCTTCTCTGACTACACACTTAGCATTGATTGTAGTCTTATTAAGAGCTTGTAGATTTTCATGGATTATACTCCATAGTGGGGTTTTTTTTAAAACAATATTCGTTAAAGAATTATTATTCTCTATAAAATCTTTAAGTTAAATTGAGAACATCAAAGCAACTTCTGTTTCTCTTTTCTATTAGAAAAATTTGACCTATGTGACTACATATTCATATTGTACATGGAAGAGAAAGGAAAAAATACCTTTTTTTTACAATTTTGGGCCCTGAGGTTTATTGTTATTGGTAGTTGGTTTACAGAAATCTGAGACAGTTTTGGCTTTCAAATATTAAAATTGACTATAATATTCCTACATGAAAATTTTCAGATAAGCAGGAAGATTTGCCCAAATAATTTTCATAGTTTTTTTGTGTGTATTTTTCATTTTTTTGTTTCCAGTTGTCTTCCTCCCCACTTTCATCTTGGCAAAGTAAGCCAGTAGGGTTTCATTTCAAATAGCAAATTAATTTTATATATAAATGCGAAGAGATTAAATCTATAAACAATATGTTTAATAGAGGGGGAGAGGATGGTTAAGGGAGGTACCCTAATTGACCTATAATTGACTTTAAATTCCATTACCATTGGAGTATACCACCATATTGGCAAGAAAAAATGTTTTATTACTTCACTGAAATAACATAAATCTGATTTTAACTAGTCAGTTATGGAATAAGATCAAGAGGGAAGATTTAAGGCCTAGTTTCCAACATATAAAAGGTTGGCCTCATGAGAAAGCATATTCTACTTGATCTCTTGCTTAAAATTATTTAAATGGTTTATAACATGTTTCACCTTGTAGGGTTTTTGCTAACAAACTAATAAAGATTATGCAGCTCTGGGAAAAAAGGAAATAAAATCTTGTCATTTTTTCTTTTTTCTTCATTTTTAGGCAAGGTCATGTGAGTCTTCCTCCACTTGAATTCAAACCAGCATTAATGTTGGAAACCTTTAGCATCAGTGCTGTTGTAATGGAAAAGTCAGTGTGCACGCCTCAGAACTCTACCAGTGCTCTTTCTTTTCATGATCTCAACAAACGGTATTATAATACCTTCCACTGTAACTTTACTATTTCTTGTCAATCAATAAGCCAGCATGTAGATATGGCTTTGGTTCGTCTTATTCATCAATTTAGTACGATGATAGATGACATCAAAGCGACTCAGACAGACATTAAACTTAGCAGATATACAGCTGGATCGGCTTCCCCAACACCTACCTTCAAAACCAGAAAACATCGGGATTTTCGCTCATCTGACTTCAGCCGCAGTTCTAGAGGAAGTCTGAATGGTGGCAATAGAGTAAACAATGCAAAGAACAAACGGACCAACAATGAAAATAACAAAAAGGAATCTCGAAACAAAAATTCATTAGGAAGATCTGAAAGAAGAACTTCAAAAGTGTCTAGGAAAGGTTCAAAAGATGTGGTGGACCATATGACTATTCATATGGATGACTCTGATTCAATTACAGTGTCAGAACAAAGTGAGCCTTCGGCTGAGTGCTGGCAGAATATGTATAAATTACTTAACTTCTATTCACTTATCTCTGATCCAACAGGAATATTGGAAAAATCTTCAGAAACATTTGGACCAGCAGGTAATGGATATCTTTATATTTGAAAAATTTCTTTTTAGAACAGCAGTAAAACTAAAACAGACTGGTTGTTGATCATGTTTTCTTAATGTTATAAGTAGATAAATGAAATGCCAAGAAAGTTGCCAGTCACCCATGGAGAGAAAATAATAATGGCACTCAGATAATCTGTCACCCCATTTCCTGTCCTTCCATACACAGTATGGTGTTAAAGATTCAGACATACGTACTTTCAAATATCTGACTCTGTTATTTACTGTCAGTATGATCATGGGAAAATGTTGAAAAATTTTTAAAATAATTTTGGTGAGGAAGAGGGCTGGTTTGGAATATGAAAAAAGATAAGATGGTGTTTGGAGTGTCCTTCAATTTCACATTTTCCTATCTAAATCCATATGTTTTGTTTCCTTATAAAGGAGTTCGGAGCCCTACAGAGCCAACATGTAAAGTTGTGTTTGAGAATGAACAAGACGGTAATAGTTTGACTAAGACACAGAGGAAACGTAGCTTGGTGACTTCTGAACCTCAGCATGTTACTCTGATAGTGTTTGGGATTGGCATGGTGAACCGCACTCACCTGGAGGCTGACATTGGGGGGCTAACAATGGAATCAGAACTGAAGAGGATCCACGGCAGCTTTACACTTAAGGAAAAAATGAAAGGTAGGGTGACATTCTAACACTGTAGTGCTACTTTTCTGAAAAAAAGCCAATGCCATGTCTCTAAAATTCCTACTTGGTAGTTTTTCTTCAAAAAATGAACTTTTCCATTTATATGGATGAAGAGTGCCACTTTATATAGTTTCTTTTCCTATTCTTTTGGTTTTCCAAGTTTTCTGCACCAAGTATTACTTCTGAGATTTAAAATGCTTTTAGGCTATTTAATGCATGAATGGCATATTAAACTGTATATTTGGCAGTATTCCAACTTTGACATATAATATGTACATATATATGAATACATAGAAATAAAAAAAATTTAAGTAGTTCCAAAATAATTTAAATTTTATTATAAAACTTAAGTTATCTTTTGTCAACAAATGTATTATGGATAAAATGCTTTAATACAAAGTACAATTAATTTATTTCCAGATTTCATATTCTTTTTTCTTACATTTAAGATGTTTTACATCAAAAGATGACTGAAACGTGTGCCACTGCTCATATTGGTGGGGTTAATATTGTGCTGCTTGAAGGGATTACACCAAATATACAGTAAGTGTGTCAATTTTTATTATTTTCTTCAACTTGTTTATTATAGTTTTATAGGAAACTTAAAATTCATTGGATGAATCCCATACATGCTGAGTTTTGAGATGTGTATAACATTATGTTACCAGATACTACAGTTCCTATGTCATTAAGAATATCACCAAATGAAATGTTTTCAGAAAAATAATTTTTTCCCCTTTTACAATTGGTTTACTACCCCCGCACCCCACAAAAAAAGCTGACTCCAGGTACACTGTAAGTTTGTATAACAAGAAAAAATGATTATAATGCAAACTTCAGTTAAACATGCAACATGCAAAAAGCTTACATAATTCAAATAGTTAAAATTTTAGTCAAAGAATACAGAGTGTCTCTTGATTTTATATTAAGTAATCATTACTCAAATTCATGTTGGGTTTTAAAACTGTATCTTGCCATTTTTCATTTAAAGAATTTAACAATAAAGCCTATGAGACTCTTGTAATAATATAGGTAAACTTTTTATAGTGAGTATACCATACCATATCACTTTTCTTTTGATTCTTTGCTCTTAACCTTTTCTTTATAAGTTCTACTCTTAGATCTATTCTGAATTGTTCTGATAATGATTACCTTTCAATATATGCAGATCGTTAACCTATTATCAGTGTATTTAACCATTGACTTTGTTCATATGCTTGGGAGTATATATCTGAATTCCTAACTTCCTTTTACTGGAGCAGCTTTATGTTGTAACTACAAAATATGCTTTAATAATTTAGGTCAGACTTTGAGAATTTGCTGTTTCTTAATATTATAACTAGTCAATGTTCTGTCATCTTATAGTGAATCTGTCATACTAAATGCTAACTAAATAGAGGATTTTGTTCAGCTGCATAAATATTAAGTGTTAATCATATATTGACTAGTAACAGTTCTAATTCATATTTTAAACATGGGTGATGTGATAACTGTCTTGGAGAACATTTCCTTGAAATGGTTGGATAAGTCTTGCTGGGGTATTTTAGACTTGTAAACCTAGAGCCAAAGAGTATATTTCATTATAGCTGCCTACGTGGTCCAGATTGCATTTCCTAAGCAGTTTGGAAAGACCAGGAAATTACAGTAGTTATGACAGACAAGATCTTTTCTGATAATTCAGTGTGGGAGAAGGGCGATTATGATGTAGTAATTGCAATCTTAACAAGGACCTACTGTGAAACAGGAGCCTCTCATAGATTATTTTATTTAATCCTAATCTGAATCCTGTGAACTGGGGTGGTTTTATCCCACTTTACAGAACAATAAATTGAGATCCAGAAAGATAAAAAAGCATGTGCCTAAAATACTTAAAACCCTACAGTCAGAATTGTTGTCTGAACCTGTGCTTCTGCTAAATATCACTACAGACCTTCAGTTCCATGGTTCCTTTGCTGGCCCTAAATTGAAAGTACCACGGCTACTTTAACTTATGCAGCAAGTAAAACAAATTTCTCTAGTTGTCTCAGGTGTCTTATTTACTCTATCCTCTTGAACCTTTTATCTCTATTATTTGTTATCTCTGAAGGGCTTCAAATAGTTTCTAGACTTGCAAAACATAGTATTTATAAAACAGATTTTTAAAAAGTATTGTATAACTTTATAAATGAATAACTTTGGTTTTTCATTTCTGATTTCAGTTAAAAGGAAATGAAACTAAAAAAGAATAGTTGAAAAGTTTCTTTGAGGGAAAATTTTAAAAGTGGGAAATAAGAAAAGCATTCCAGATGATTGGTCATGCTGTAACTAATTTATGTATGAATGTTTATTTGCTTCCTTTTTGTTTTCCTGCTTTCTCTTGAATCTTCATCTGTAGACTGGAGGATTTTCCTACATCTCCTACAAGCACAGCCAAACAAGAGTTTCTGTATGTCATATTATTTTTTTTCCCCATGGGCTTTGTGATTAATATAGTATTGAATAGTTTTAAAGAAATAGTTCAATTATCTGCATGGCTGTGAATGTATGTAGTTGTTATTTTGTAGTTTAATGTAGGTCCTTTTATAGATTAAAGCTACTGACATTCAAGGAACACACAGAGGTAAGGGCTACCTTTTGGTAATTCACACTTTGTTTTGTTGTTGAAAGATTTTAACACTGTAGTTATGTGTTGCTTGTGCTTTTTTAAGACATCTCACTGTTAAAATTTATATTATCATAAATCCTACTGAAGGTTTGATGGGATAATAGAAACTAAAAAGTTTCACTTGCATACGAGTTTTCACTAAATACAAAAATAATTATTAAAACATTAATATAAGAAAACATTGACACATCTCAGCTTTATAATTTTGCTTTTAAGATGAGAGTTAAAAAAAATAAGATGAGGAGAGTTTACTACTCTGTTGACAGATTTTATGTATGCTTTAGTAAAAGTGCTTTTATATTTTGAGTGGCTTGATTTGACCTAGTTATATCTGATATTTTGTGGTAGTGAGCTATACTGAATGCTATTAATTTAAGTATTTGTTACATGAGTCTTACATAGGGGTGGAGATAGAGTAGAGATAATGAAGCCCCAGAGTAAATCCTCAAATTATTCACTCAGCCTGTTGGATAGAAAAGGATGGGGCCTGCATTTACTTCCTGGACTCAAGAAGTAGAAGAAGATGCGGAAAAAGTACTTGCTTCATTAGGCAGGTTGTCATTGTAGCTGATCACAGTGGATCTGTCAGAACCGTGTGAGGGTAGACTACACTGTCAATGAATTCTTTAACAAGATTGTTTGGTCACTTGCCATGAACTTTTTATATATATGAGGCATGCCTAAGGTGCTACATGTTGTTATAGTCTTCTCTTCAGAGAGATTTTGACCAGTTCTTTCTTGTGTAAAAGTGTTACACATATACTACATTACTGTAGGAGCTAGATTAAGTGACAACTCTCTTCAAGAATTAAAATAAAATTATGAATAGATAATTCACCTAGCAGCTTGTAAACTATTTAATTCTTCGTTCTGGGTCTCCTTATCTCTTTAACACGCACAGTTTGACAGGAGTTAATGTTAATCAGACATCCTCTATAGTTTCTGGCTCGGTTTGATCAAGATAGGTCTACCATGTTATCCAGCTCAGAAGAACACCACTCACATTGTAGTGGTAGGCATTGTTTACACAGACTACAGTGTGAATGGAGCCCTCTGGTGCTGGACAGCACAGAGCACCTGAAGTCCTTAACATCAGAATTTTCACTGGAAATATCATTGTAGGATCCACAATAGGAGAGCAATCAGCCCCATTAGCTTTCCATTCTTACTTTTGCCGTATACCTCAAATTCCAGTGTTATATACATGCTTATATAATTGAAAGTAATATTTAAGCAGACTTCTATAGATTATAAAGGAAAAAACAGCAAGATAGGTATGGAATTTTACTGTCATGATAACAAGAGAGACTTCTTTGTATGTTTAGTTTCATTCAGTAGTTGGATGCTGTTCACAAGTAAAAAGTCATTTGCATTTTAGCACCATCTGAGTGTTCTGGCTTATGTTGAAATTGAATTTAAAATGAAATCTCATTGATAATAAAAGTAGCTTTATTTATTATAATGTTTAAGAAAAGATTCCAAATTCAGTAACTAGTCAGTATCCCAGAATCTACTCTCATGCTGGCTAGACCAATTTCATGGATTACTTTTTTCCCTAGTCTGTGATAGTCTCTGAAAATAGTTGCCTTTGTAGAAGAAAGCCACATTGTTCTCTAGTAATCATTTTTTAATTTTATATAATACGCAAATTTCATTGTCTGTAAATAATACCTCTGATAGAGCCATTATTATGCTTCTCAAGGCTTATTTTAATAGAAGTTAAATATGATAAATTGTTTAGATCAAGACTGTAAATAAATTCTCAGCAAATCCTCTACAACCTAAGTAGAGATAAATGTATGTGAACTGACCTGTAGTTAATATGAAATTTGCATTTTATATGTTGTTTTGCTAAATCTATTTATTGTCAATCCTTTGCCCATTTGAAAGATAATATTTATGTTTGAAGCTATCCTTTTACTAACTGGGCCTTTAATGGTGCAGTTCATTGACGTGAACCTTTCCATTCTATACGTCAAAACTCCTTCATCATGACTTCTACATACATGACTTATCACATGTTATCGTGGAATTCCACAGCTTTAGTGTTGGGAGTCATTCTTCTGCTGTACTTCTTTCTGCTCATTAATTTCACAAAATTCAGTGAGTGCTGCCATGCTCAAGGTACTGTTGTAGGCGTTGTAAAAGAGAACAAGAAATCAAGAAAGATAATATCTCTGCTTTATGTCTGTGTCAGTAGAGCTTACCAATTTTTTTTGATGTATTTTATTTTATTTTATTTTTTAATTTTATTTATTTATTCATGAGAGACAGAGACAGAGAGAGAGAGGCAGAGGGAGAAGCAGGCTCCCAAGGAGCAGGGAGCCCGATACGGGACTCAATCCCAGGACCCTGGGATCATGACCTGAGCCGAAGGCAGATGCTTAACCATCTGAGCCACCCAGGCGCCCGAGCTTACTAATTTTTAACTAAGTAGTAGTTACTTATTATGAATTAGACTTCTATAATTTCTTTGAAACTTGTTGAAAATTTTAAAAAATGGAAAATATAAGTTAAATTCCTTCCTTCCGGTTAATTTCTTCCAACATGTTAGATAATTGATGAATTCCTTTGATTAGACTCTAAGAAGTATAGTGAGTATTTTATTATATATTCAGCATCTATGCTTTCTTAGTAGTTACATATATCCCTAAAATAAATTGGGGGCAAAATGAGTTCTGAATGGAGGAAAAGTAAAAATGGAACTTTGTGTGTTGTACACATGTAATATGTCCATGTTCATTATTTTACTTGTGAGCACATCCATGTTTTCTTCCATAAACTCTATTAAAGATATAGAATGATTTTCCGTGCAAAGTAAAATAAATATATTTCAATGTTTTTATAAAATATTTCCTCAATATATGATTTAAATGCCTGAAAAATCTTAAGTCATTTAGTTCATTGAATGATTTAAAAGCATTGTCTTATTCTTAAAGTACTTTTTCAACATTTCTCTTTATTTGGCTCTATTTTAATGGTCCTCCTTCTTTATTAATAGAACTGTAGTGAAATGTAGTATTGCCAAGTCACAAGCCCTCTACAGTGCCCAGAGAGGGTTGAAGACTAACAATGCTGCCGTGTTCAAAGTAGGAGCTATCAGCATCAACATTCCCCAGCACCCTGCCACCTTACATAGCATGATGGTTCGGAGTTCCCACCAACTATCTAAGCAGATCTCAGATCTTATCAGACAGCCTTCTACAGCGTAAGTTATTTTTTCAAGTTCTGTGGTTCTGTGTAATACTGTAAATTGGTCTTTGATGTGTTAACAATAGTTTGGAGGAAGACAGAGGATTTCATCCAAATATTGACCATTATGAACTATGGTGCAGGTGGAAAGTATGTTTGTGGGAGAATCATATTGGGTATAAAGTACTTTGTCACAAATGCAATTGTCAATGTTCTCTATTGCATCAATAAAGCTTAAGAGATCCCAGAGAGGGACTGCTGGATGACTCAGATGGTTAAGCATCTGCCTTCAGCTCAGGTCATGATCTCCAGGTCCTGGGATCGAGCCCCACGTTGGGCTCCCTGCTCAGCGGGGGGTCTGCTTCTCCCTCTCCCTCTGACTCTCCCCCTGCTTGTTCGCTCTCTCCCTCTTTCTCTCCCTCTCTCTCTCTCAAATGAATAGATAAAATCTTAAAAAAAAAAAAAGATCCCAGAGATTTGTGGGCATAATAAGAGGTAGTAAAAAAAAGCAAATTAACAAATTCTAGGACTGTATCAATTCTTATTTACTTTAAACTCATTGAAATTTATGACTGCATAAGTTTAAAAATTACAGTGGCCATTTATATTCCATGCATGGTTTTGTGTTGTCCTATGAAATTGTTGTACATGGTTCAAGGCAGGATATGATCATGCCACATAAATATTTTAAAGGGAAGAAAACTGGACCTTTGTACATTGACTTCTATTCCCTGTGTTTATAGCCCTTTTTCATGGGTCTGCATTGCTAAGATTTATTCTTGGTCCTAAAGCTATATAACTAATGAATAATTAATAAAAATATGGTAAGTAAAAGGTAAAAAAATTGCCTTATTATGATCCTTTTGCTTAATCTATAAGGTAGAAAAACATTTGTGTGTCTTTTTACAGTGTCCTAAAGCAGTGATATTTCTAATTGTTCTATATAGATCTTTAATTCTGACATAATATTCATTTCTGGTTGAGTAAGTAGTAATAATTTAAATATGTTTCTCCTCTCAGTGTAGTATGGAATCCAAAATGTGTACATAAGACTTAGTTTAAAAATATGCTAAGGAACTCTTCCTTATTATAACGTATTGGCAGCAGAATGTTAAAAAAAAATCAGACTCTTGTCAGAGCGAGTTAAAATCATGGTTTTGCCATTTTCTAGCTATGCTTCCTCATTTGCAAAGCAGATAATCGTACCTACTCAAAGGTTTTTGTGAGATAAATGAAAAATGATATAAAACACACAGAGCACTAAGAATATTACCTGGCACATACTAAGCACTCCAATAATTATTGTTATTGTTGGTGTTGTTGTTATTAATGGTAATGACAGTAGTGGCAACAGAAGCAATATTACCATCAGTAATAGAGTGCACAATGCTTAAGTCATAGAATTTGGAATCAGACAAACATGAGTCTTAAATCTAGTTTCACATTAAGGATGTGAATAGCCTTGACAGTATAACATTCGTTTGTATTGTTATTACTTCTTGTTTAATTTCTAGATCATCATTTTTCTATGGCTGTTTTTAGGAAGGCTTAAGGGGGTCTGGTATTAGAAAACCTCTGTTTGCGGTTAATTTTTGCTACTTTTCATTGCGAATTCTAATAATTTTGTACAATAAAATGGTAGCTGTTCTAGTTGCATCTTTTTAAAGTGATTTTTTTTTTTTTGCTTTATAGCCCACAGCCCATGAAAGAAGATATTGCAACGCCCCTACCTTCTGAAAAAACTCCAACAAGTGTTAATCAGACTCCTATTGAAACAAATGAATTTCCTCAGCTACCCGAAGGTTTAGAAAAGAAGCCTATTGTTCTTAAATTCAGTGCCATGTTAGATGGTATAGCCATTGGAGCCGCACTTTTACCATCTCTGAAAGCAGAATACAAAATGGGAAGAATGAGAAGTCATGGAATGACAGGTAACATTGAATTTTGAATTCAGTCTCGTTAAATTTATGATTGGTTTGAGAAATTAGTAATATTTTGATGAAAAAGTACATTTGGTTTTGAAGATATTATATGAAAATTTAAATAATTTTAATCAGAGCACTTTTCAATTTCATTAATGATGTTCTTCAGTCAGGTAAAAAAATACCAGTTACACCTTCCTTGAATGACCAGCAGGGACCCTGCTTTTATTTGAACTCTTTAGAGCTATTCAACTGTTGAGGCCATTTCTGATCAAGCTTAAGTTAAATAAATTTCCACATCTGTTAGTTTCTTTATAGTCTGAATAACTTGGTTTATTTTCTCATTGAGTGAATTTAGCACAAATCAGAGGTTATTTGGCTTCTTCAAAATAACTACTTCTATAAGGTATTGTGATCCTTATATACTCTCTCCAAAAATTTTTTGCTGCTGTATTTTTATCCTGCAACTTATATCTACAAAAGTGTGTAAATTATATACACACAGTTTCAAGAATAATAAAGAACTGTAAAAAAAAAAAAAAAAGAATAATAAAGAACTGTAACTTTACCAACCCATTACACAAACTAAGAATGAAAACATTACTAGTACTGTGAAGGCTCCTTCAATGAATATTTTCACTACCAGATTTTCTTCATGACTGCTCATGGAATAACCACTAACATGAATTTTGTGTTACCCATTCCTTTGCTTTTCTTTATAGTTTTACCACATATGTATATACTCAAAATGGCTTATGTTTTGAACTTTATTTGTATGGACTTCCACTAAAATGTATTTTTTAATTGGAAGATTTTTTGCTTTACATTTTGTTTGAGATTCATCTGTTCATTCATGTATCTGCAGGTCATTCATTTTTCACTGAAACCTAATAGTCCATTATGTGATTATATTACAGTTTATCTACTCTACTATCGATGGACCTTTGGCTTGTTTTATATTTTGCTATTACAGTTGTTCTCACACACATCTCTTGGTACATGTGCATGAGTTCCTCAAGGATATTTACTTAGGAGTGGTACAGCTAGACTGTAGGGTAGATACATCTTCAGTTTTATTAGAAAGTACAAAACTGGGGCACCTGGGTGACTCAGTTGGTTAAGCGACTGCCTTCAGCTCAGGTCATGATCCTGGAGTTCCAGGATCGAGTCCCGCATTGGGCTCCCTGTTCAGCAGGGCGTCTGTTTCTCCCTCTGACCCTCCCCCCCCCCCATGCTGTCTCTCTATCTCATTCTCTCTGTCAAATAAATAAAATCTTTAAAAAAAAAAAGTACAAAACTGTTTTCCAAAGTACTTGTGTTCACCAGTATTTACTGTCCTTCCAGTATTAAATGAGAGTTCCCATTATTCCACATCCTTGTCAACATTTAGTATATTCTGACTTTTAAATTTTTGCTTTGTCTGGTAAATGTGGAATGGTAGCTCATTGTGGTGTTAATTTGTATTTCTGTAATTAAGCTGATTTTTTTTTTGTTATTAAGATATCCTTATATGTGTTCCTATACGAAGTGCCTCTTTTTTCTTAAAGATTTTATTTATTTATTTGACAGAGAGAGAGAGAGAGAGAGTGTGCGCACAAGTAGGCAGAGAGGCAGGCAGAGGGAGAGGGAGAAGGAGAAGCAGGCTCTCCGCTGAGCAGGGAGCCCAATGAGGGATGTGATCCCAGGACTCCGGGATCACAACCCAAGCTGAAGGCAGCCACTCAACTGACTGAGCCACCCAGGCGCCCCTATGAAGTGCCTCTTGATAGTTATTGTTTTTTGCCTATTTTACCATTGAATCATTTGTATTTTTTTTTGTTCACAGGAATTCTTTATATGTTTTATATGTTAAACTTTTAATATTGTAAGTTTAACATACATTGTCATTTCATTAGAGGCTTATTTCACTTTTCTTTTGACCAGCAAATATTCTTAGTTTTAAAGTAATTGAATTTACCAGTATTTTATTGTATGATGTATATTTTTATATCTTAAATCCTTATCTTCCCAGGATATGAAGCTATTCTCATGTTTTCTGTGAAATGTTTTTAAATTTTGTTTTTTAAGTTCTTAATCTATATGGAATTATTTTTTTTTAATTTGGTGTGGATTTGTCTAATCAGTTGCTACAGCATCAATTATTGACTGATCTGTCCTTTTTTTCAATTGATACATAGTCCATTATTCTCATCTCTTAAGTGCTGATATATGTGGGGTCTGTTTCAGAGTTCTTTATTATGCTTCATTGACCTATTTGCACCATTATTGGTGACCTATTTGCACCATCTATTTACAGTCTCATATTGCTACCTGACATTTCCTTTTTAAGAATTTATCTTGATTGTTTTTAATTACTCGCTTCTTCATACACGTTTTAGAAATCAGTTTTGTCAAGTTCTCTGAAAAAGCCTATTTCGATTCTTTTTTTTTACCTTTATATTATTTTATTATTACTTATTTTTTTCTTATGCTATGTTAATCACCATACATTACATTAGTTTTTGATGTACTGTTCCATAATTCATTGTTTGCGTATAACACCCAGTGCTCCATTCAAGAGGGCACATACTGAATGGAGCCTATTTCGATTCTTATAAGAATTTAATTAAATCCATAGATTTACTTGGGGAAAATTGACAATATTTTTTGTGTTTTTGTTTTTATTTTTTTAAAAAAGATTTTATTTATTTACTTGACAGAGAGAAAGACAACACAAGCAGGGGGAAGTGGCAGAGAGAGGGAGAGGGAGAAATAGGCTCCCCGCTGAGCAGGGAGCCCAATGTGGGGCTTGATCCCAGGACCCTAAGATCATGACCTGAGACAAAGGCAGACGCTTGACCAACTGAGCCACCCAGGCAGAGAATGGACAATATTGATTAATACCGAGAATTGAATGCAGTATTTAACCCTTCCATTCTTGAATATGTTCTTTGTGTCTCGTTAGGTCTTCTTCAATGTTTTTCTGCAAAGTTAAAAATTTTTCAACCAAAGGTTTTTGTGCCTCTGTTACAAAATATATTTATTTGCATAGATTCCTGGGTACCTTGTGTTATTGTTATTGTTGTTTAGTTACTATGAATGGGATATTTTATAAAATGGAATTTTCTAAACTGGTGGTGAGATATACAAATGCGCTTGATCCTTTTTGTTAATTTTATACTCAGCACCATAGTAAACTTTTTTTTTATTGCCCATAAGATTCTTTGGAGTTTCCTAGGTGGATACTTGTACCATGTGCAAATGATACTTTTGTTTCTTCCTTTCCAGTCTTTAAAAATTTTTATTTCTTTTTCTTACTGTGCTTCTGCTACAATGTTCAGAAAAGGGTATTGTGGGCATCCTTGTCTTACTTTTATTTCTTAAGGGAATCAATATTTCATCAATGAATGTGATGTTTGCTGTAAGGTTTTGCTAGATTCCCTTTATCAGGTTAAGAAAATTGACTTCTATTCCTAGTGTGCTAAGAGTTTCTATGAGGAAAAATTGGTGAATATTATCAGATGCTTTTTGTACGTCTATTGAAATTAAAATGTTTTTTCTCCTTTATACCATTAACATAAGTTGTATTACCAATTTAAAAATGTGCATACATTGGCATATGTAAATATGTACACATATGTATTTATATATATTTACATGTATGTCTTTATTCCTACTCCTAGCATTTTAACTTTTCTTTATAGAGAGGGAGGGACTTTTCTGAACATCTAGGTCTTTCTGTTACTAGAAAGAGAAGCACTATGAAGGGAGCTTCCAGATTTGGCAGAGTCGGAAGTATTAGGCCTTCAGATACTGGCCTGACAATAAATTAGACTCATCTTGGCCATTTATTCAGGGCATCCATGAAATATAAGACTCAACAGAGACAGTAAGTCAAAAGCCAAATAGGCAGTTGGAACTAGGAAGAAATGAATATTTAGGAACAAAGTAAATGTACTATCAAATATCTAGATAAGAACACATAGTTATTCTTGAAATGAAGGAGAGGGACAAAAATAGTAAGAGTGACTATACTAGTGATAAGGGATGACCTGAGGCCTAGGATTACTTCAATCTTGATATTTTTATTTGGTAATGCTGGTGGTAGTAGTAGAAATTTTAATTTCTGTGGTAGCCCACCACCCTTTGCATGCTGCAAGTGATGGTCACTGAATCTGCCTGGCTGGAGTTAGTAAGAGAAGATCAGAGCAGTCATGATCCATCTGGCCATTCACAGTTGCATGCAATGTTTGGTGAAAGAGCTTTTTTCTGTTTATGCCTAACTCATTCCAAGTATAAACATCATTGTATAGTTAGTGAATAGCGAATGTAACATACAGGAGTGATCTTTTACTAGTATTTTGAAAAAAGAGAATAAATTTCCGGCACAATTGAGAACACTAGGAATATTTATTAAATTATAATATGTATGTAGGCAAAATAGGCTATTTAATGATGTTTGAGTGGAGAGAATTGGTAATGTATAGAACGGTGTAAGACTCTTGGTTGGAAAGGAGTGCAATGGGCAATGATAGATCTTGATTTTAACAAGGCTTCTTCTACTGCTTAATGCCTTCATAAACAGCTGGAGAAATATGGCTCGAATAACAGTATAGGTTGTACATTTATAATTATTTAAACAACTGCATGCCAAATTGTTGATTTAAGTGTTTAGAACCAACAGTAGTTTTAGTAAACTAAAACTCATACCATGTCCCTACTTGGTATATGGTCCTGTTAATAGTTATTGTTAAGGTAAAAAAATATATGTGTTTGCATAATTTTATACCTGATGAATGTTTTCAGTGAGTACAGTGATTTGACAGTTTTCACTATTTCCTTCCATACTGAATCAGGATCAGGAGGCTAGTTGTTAGGTGCTAACCTCTCTGTTAATAAAGCAGAATGAATGTGAATATGGATTAGAATTTTTTTTACACTTAATTTCTCTTGTTATAACCCTTCTGTGATAAGGGCAGTTCCTCTCTGTTCTACTTTCTATGAAATAACATTTGTGAGTGTTTCTCTGGCACCTGGTCGGCTTAATAAATAATACTTGCTGGCTTAATAACACTGATTCTTTATAGTACTCATATATATAAGGATTTATTTTATTTGGGATATGTATGCATTTTTTTAGAAACCAGTTTTTTGAACAAAGGAGTGAATGAGCACCTGAACAAACAAACAATAACTTTTCTTATTTCTTACAGGTGCACAGACCAGGTTTACATTTGAGCTGCCAAATCACAGATTACGTTTTACTTCAAAAGTTTCTGCCACAGATATGTCAACCATTCCTCCTTCTGCCAGTCTCAACCTTCCTCCTGTTACTATGTCAGGGAAATATATAATGGAAGAACATGATAGTTATTCAGATCAGGTGTGGAGTATTGATGAACTACCTTCTAAACAAGGGTACTATTTACAGGGAAATTATCTACGTTGTGTGGCAGAAGTAAGTCTACTTTTTAATTTTCTTATACTTTGTCATTTAGAAGTCTTTAAGCTTTAGGTGTACCAAACTTTTAAGACAAATCATTATATCATTTATTCTCACAGAATTTTATACCAAATCTGGGGTGTATGTTTGTACACATGTGTGTATATATCTGTCTCTCTTTAGTTTCATGTAAATATGCTTTTTTTATTAGTCATGTTTGAATTTGTATTTCTTACATTAGATTTCATATCCATCTCTTTAATACTTTATGGTTCATTTGACCATAAAAAAACTAATAGCATTTATATGCATTGACTTGTATAACTTAAATCAATCCTAAGAGGCAGATATATTTGTTCTCATTTTGTAAGTGAAAAAACTGAGCTTTCAGGGGGTTACATGATTCATCAGGAATACACAATTATTAACAATCTTTTTTTCATAATTATTAACAATCTGCAGGTCATACAAATAAAATAATTACAGTTAAATTCAGACTAATTTCTTTACTAAGGGAAGTTGAAAACCAGCATACCTGATTCCATCATTTTTTCACTTAATATTGGTACAACTGTTGTAAGTTTAAAAAACCTTCTGATACATATTTTTTACTTGATTTGTGGTAAACAGGTCATCTGTTATTATACTAATTTAATACAGTAGAAAATTGAAGCTAAGAGAAATTAAATAACTTTCCCTAAATCTTTCCACTATCAAGTGAGTAACGTAGGATTCATACACATGGCTGTCTCTCAGCTTGCTTTGTCAGTTTTTCAGAAACAATTGCAACTTTATCAAAAAGCAGTTTTCTTTTTTTAATTTAATTTTATTATGTTAGTCACCGTACATTACATCATTAGTTTTTGATGTAGTGATCCATGATCCATTGATTGCATATAACACCCAGTGCTCCAT